TTTTCAACATTACTCTAATAGTTAAGCCCTTTCATTGGATATCCATATTTAGGAAGTTGCGAAAAAAAAGTAATTCACAATTTTTTGGTGGCGGCTATTTTGAATTTTGTCATAGTGCATAATGTTCTACTATTCAAGCCTTTTTATGTGATACATATATTGAGGGAATTGTAAAAAAATATGTGACCCGATATTTTGTGGCGGCGGCCATCTTTAACCGATTTCCATCAAACATAATTAAGAACACTCTCGACTAATTCACCTTTCAACCAAAAAAACAAAAACAAAATTGGTTTATCCGTTTAGGAGCTACGATGCCACTAATAGGTACACCATCCACATACACGCATACGCACCCGCATACACATCAAACTTATAACACCCTGTCATTTTTGCGTCTGGGGTAATGTGGTGTACACGTACTGTATGGAGAAGGATATAAGCTACTTTTCATCCCGGTTAGTTAACATATCCTCGTCACGTGGACGAAGTCGCGGGTAAGAGTTAGTAATTAATAATATACATGATTTCTTAGAGAAATTATCATGGATTGACTTTGTTATCTGCAGTTTATTCTTCATTTTTATTACACAGGTCATGTAACTTTGCTTTTAAACCAGCATAGTTTGGCCTTGGTTCGAGAGTTGCTATGATAACAGATAGACGGTTGTATCTACTATAATAAACGTGTAATTTCTATGAAAAATACCATTTATCACTCCTTGCCTCTTTAGGATAATTGCTGTTTATTTACTGCTCATTTATATTTTCCATATTTGAGATCTTTATAACTATATTTTACAATATAATCAAGTTGGGCGATGGGATTATTAGTAATGGAGTCTAATTTCCACATTATTACACACAAATGCATTGTATGGAATAATGCATTTGAGGTTGTCACTCTAGTTAATGGGGGCGGGGTCGTCCTATACTAAGTTTGCCTGTACCTATAAGATTGCCACTAAAGAATCTTTCTTCTTCATCGATTGCTGTTTCTTTAAGCTATGTGACCAGCAATTCAATTCAATTTCAATTTTCTTATCAATCTGTCAATCAATTTCTATCTATGAATTTGTATAAAGCTCAAGACAGGCCACATATGGAATACTGTTCTCACCTATTGGCAAGAGTGCCACATCTCCTTCCGTTAGACCGCATTCAAAGTCGAGGGGCTTGAATTATTGATTTTATTATATATATTTGCTCAAATTACTGATTGATCAGCGCCTTACTGTCTGACTCGACCCACTGAAACTGCGTAGTGATGTTGCATCTCTGCGGATCTTCTACCGAATTTATCATGGGGAGTGCTCTGGAAATTGTTCGGATTGGTATCTGCTGCTGATTTTCACCATCTTAACCCGCCATAAGCTAAAGTTTCATCCCAGTCATCTGGACGAGTGGCGGTCTTCCACCGTGCGTTTTGCTAGGCACTTTCTTCCATGCACAACCACTCTTTGCAATCAATTTTCAGCAGCAGTATTATCGAACCAATACGACATCATAACCTTCAAGAAAAGAGTATATTCCTTTTTAAAAGGCCGGCAGCACAACTGCAATGCCGATAGTGTTGTGGGTGATCATAGGCGGCGGTAGTCACTTACTATCAGTCGCATGGCCATTTGCCCCTGTGTTTAAAAAAAAATCCTTCGGGCTATATCAATCACTTTGGTTTTTCTGCAGATATTCTTATTTCGGGTTCTATCACGCAAAGAAACTCCGTGCATAGCCCTTTCAATAGCTTGTTGAGTAACTTGAAGTTTCTGCGTACGGGCAATCATGTAGGGTCATGTTTCGGTTTCGTATGTCATCACTAGCAACACGCACTGATAAACACTTTCGTCTTCAAACTTTGAGGTTTTTTGGATGAGAAAACGTGGCGTAGTTTTCCGAACGCTACCTAGATTCTCTTTAGAAATATTTCCCAAGAATTAGCTTATATGTATGTTTGCGTATAACGTCGCGACATCCAAAAAAAAGTAGCATATGCATATAACACCCTCCTATATTCTAAAATACAAATACAAAATTCACTATTTGTATATAAATAAATGTTTAAAGACCACACAAAAAATTAATTCTGTAGAATAATTAAAATTGTACTCGAAAATCTTTGAATCGCTCTCCTGTAAATTTTACTTTTTACAGATGTAACTTTATTCTTCAAGTGGGTCGATATAGCAACCCATGTCTCGATCGAATCATTCTTCGGCTTTCTCATAGTCTACAAACGCCAGACATTATTCGGGGTCTTCTTATCTAATAAGACTAAAACGAAATCATTAAATTAAATTGTGTTATAAATTAAAATACATAATAAATAATATTATACCATAACTGTTAAGTTATGGCATAATATTCAAAGAATATTAAATTATAGTAGAAAAAATTAATTAATATAGGCACAACACTAAGATGATAATATTTCTCTAAAAGAACAACATAGCATAGCCATCTACTGGCTAAATATAGCACTAAGACTCAGTTAAAAAAATTAAACACTCGTAAATAATAATGTAAATCCAGAATCATTACCTTATTGTATCTTTTATATGAAATCGTCATTTAAGAATTATAATTATTTTCCTTTTAAGTGAGAATTCTATATTTAGTTTATAACTGTGGTTAGAAACCTGACCGCGAAATTATGTTTATTTTTGGAGGTTTTTTATAAATTTTTAAAAATTGTGGTAGTTAAAAACATTATTTTTTCTTGTAATATTCGCCTTTATAAACTGTAATTATTTTAGATTTTTCGCTTCACTAATTTCGGAGATGAGGCGAGAGGGAAATTTTATTTCTAACATTTTCAATCATAAGTTGAAAACTATACACTATAAAAATAAATAAAAATTATTTTTAAAATGTACATAAGAAACAAACGCCCTGCCGTTTTTAAGTTGTTTGAGAATATTTCAATCTTGCGCAAACTGACATCCATCCCGAGATGTAATTCCTTGTTCTTAGATCAGTATAGTAATGAGTGACTAGCTCTGTCAACGACGTTGTCTACAATTGTCAATAGAGCTACTCAATCTCACTCAAAATCTCAGATGTAGCGGAAATTATATCACCGGTATTGGTTTTCAACTCTGTCAGTTAGCTTCGTAATATAGTATTATATTACCTGTGGTAATAGCTAAATATATCTTCGATGTAATCAAGTAAGTAGTATTAATTAAAAGTTGTAAAGATTTTTAATTTTTTTTTTTTTCAATTAATTATAGTAATCTTTGCAAACATCTAGTGATTGCAGGTTTTATATTTTTCCCCATACGTTCCACCGAACATAGGAGATTCTCTGCGTTCAGCATAGACAAGTTTTATGATGTGATATAAAAAACTATACTCTATTTTCAGTTGTTATTAACTAATATATCTCTTTTATTTAAAACTAGATGATCCCTCGAATTTCGTACAGCCTAACAGCCGACTCTTTAATTTTTTTGTTTTTTTAATACTTATTCTGCTATTCGGGACACCGGGTCAGCTAGTAAGATAAAAAAGAAAGTTAATAAGTTAACAATTACATCACTCAATTGTTTTGTCTTCTCGGAACCTCTTCACTAATACTTGAACTTTATGGTATTAAAGTTCAAATTGACTTTTAAGTACGAATTACGAATTGTTTGTATGGAAGTATAGAAAAGACGTGTTATTAGATTCTTTCAGGCAATTTTTTAAAATTTTCTCTTCGTAAGAACCATTCTCGTACTTCAAGTAATAATGTAGAAAAAGAATTAGCGAAATCGGTTCAGTTGTTCTCAAAATTTGCGCTTAGCAACACATTCAACGATTGATTTTTATATTATAGACATCTAATTAGTGCTACTTTAGTCAAGATGCGGGTCCAATGAAGGGAACCCAGGGTTGATCTTTAATAATATTAAATAAGTTTCATAAAATAGAATATTTACTAGTTTAAATTTTTGCAATATATTATTTAAAATGATCATAATAATGATACGATAATATTTTTCTCTTTTTTGTTTTAGATATTTTTAAATGTATCTCCATCAAACATTTCTACTTACTCTATGATCGACTGGCAGAAATCGCCTTTAGGTATTATATCAGTCATGTGTATTTTTGTTACATACATGAAAGTTAAATAAATAAGTAATCAATTTAAAATTTTAAACCTTTCCCCATTTTTTAGTTTACTGTCTGGAGATAGCAACATTTTCCATTTAACAACTCATCAACATCTTACTGGTTTTGATCCCATAATAATATTTAGTGCACTATTACCACGTTTGCAGACAGTTTGGTATAGGGTTTTATTTCAAGTGATCATTTCCTTTCTAATGCAAATATTCTGCCACTAGTTGTCAATAGGTTGCACATTATACAGAGAAGCATACGGCAATTACTCAGTATCAAATGATGTTGTGAACATTATCATCAATGATTAGAAGATTCCAGTGACAAATTTTAATGATCTCCGTTAATTTTTTTAAGTGTGAACAAACAATAAATATATACGTTCACATTCATAATTATTAGTAGGATTATAATGATTCGCTGCAGGAAGCCCACCAAATACATGTCACGTGAAGCAAATCCTAGATTAGTGTATAATATACTTTAATTCCGATTCATACACGCAAACCACCGTGTTATCACTATTACTTACTAACATTGTAAAGGGGAATCATAAATGTCCTTTTGGTGGATTTGTTACGCAATTTGGCATAAACGTTGTATTTTTATTTTACATAAATAGAAATCGTAAGCGGATAGCCAACTTGATAGAAAAAGGTAACTACAGCTACTATTTAGCAAAAAATCAAAGAACTCAGATATTATTTTTTAACTCGGTTAATCAGCATCTATGTTACGAGTAAAAAGTATAGTTCACTAGCTATAAGTAAAAAATCAAACGTATTAATTAAATATGTAATACAAAAATAAAAGTAATACATTCATATAATACATTGATGTACAATACATGTGCTTGGAAGAATACAAAACGACTACTGATTAGTATTGCCTAATAATCGATTGTTTATTAATTAATATATAGTTAATTTTCACTCAGAATTATTTAAATATTGATTAATTCATCGATAATATTGATACTATTAATTGAAATGATACCATCTATATTAATGTTTACGTAATAAAATATTTATTTTTTATACCAATGATGCGGCAAACAAGTGCACGGCCCACCTGACAGTATTATATTATTATATCATAATCTATTGTATAACAATATAATAATTATTTGGAGAATATAATACTGGATAATGTTATAGTATACATAGATAGAGTGTAGAAACAATACTTCGTTTACATTATATATAATTGATGGTATTATTCCATTTGTTATTGATACTGCCAATTATATTGAATCAATCATAACAACTTTATTTATCATAATACTTCGTAATAGCTATATTGTTTGTAATTAATCGAATATCGCTTTATCAGTTATTTGTAATTCCAATCGAACTATCAATTAATAATCGATATCTACGTAATGATTATTAGGCAATATTACTAATGGTGACTTAATCCCACATCAATTGCATCAGATAATTTCTTGGAAGTTCCGGCTTCGTATATGTGGGTTAGTGATTCTGAACTCGATGCAAATATTTTACTTCTGGATACTATTGGTATATGGAAACAGTCAAATACATCCTGAAATATTTTTTTTTTATAAATTACTAATTATTAACATTATTTTTGACATAGTAGTTTCATACCTAAGATCAAAGTAATATTCAGATTAGTCATCTTGTATATTAGCACTTTTAAATTGTATTTTTTTTACGAATCTACTAATGTAATAGTTATTATGTGCTAACGAGAACTCGCAAGAAACTCAACAGTACTCTTAAATCTCTGTTAACATTATGTATATTTTTTTAAATATATTATGTGTAAAATTACACGGTTACTAATATGCCCATGCATGATCGACAAACACCATGCACGTTTGTCATTCAAGTAATCGTATAGTATATAGGTTTTGTTCAGTAAATATTTCTTAATAATAGTTTCAAATTTATTAAAAGGTAGATCTAAAATATACTTCGGTATTTTGATATAACATTTAATACCAATTCCTATAAAAGACCTATTATCTTTTCTAAACGAATCAACAAGTTGTTATTTGTATCTAGAATTAAGATTATCGAGATAACTCTTAATTCTAAATTTTTTTTTTTTTAAAAAACAGTCATTTTGTATATATATACAAAATGTTTAAAATATAGATATACCCATATACAATAGTTTTACATTATAGATATAAAAAGTGTCATAAGACTTGATAAATACGAGTATAATCAAGAAATTAACATTTTGTTAATGTATAAGGGTCGTATTTGTTTAATATTTGATCTATGAGTACTACAACATAGAAACTTATTTGGAATTACAAACGAAACATTACATTAATATATTATGTTTGTTTACATTATATATGACAACCAAATATATTTATTATTATATTTACATGGTGTATGTAATGATGATGGAGTAATTATTACACTGTGGTGATCTTAGATTAAAAGCAAATGTAAAATAGGAAACATAGTAACATGTATGAATATTAGAACGATATATCGCAGATAGCGGGAGATAAAACAAAGCGAATTCTGATTGTTTTCGCGTTTTTAGGTAATTAGGTAGAAATTAACCTAACTTAGACTACAGGTACAGTATCTGCTTACAACACCCCACGAATTTACACATTTTACACAGCCCTTTACACATTTAGTTCTTTAAGTCCAATGTTATAAAACCATTACAAATACTTTATTGAAATGGAAAAACAAACGCTGCTACCCATCCCTCGGTCATTAAATTCCCTTAGTCGCTTTTTACAATACCTACAGGAGAGTAAGAGGTGACTTAGGTACCTCTTTCCCATTTAAGATTCAACCGTGAAACAGTTGTGTTTGCATGGCTGTGTTTCGATTTAAAGGATGGAATATGACAATGAATTTACAGGGTACAGAAGAATAACATTTTAGTCTTCAGCAATCGCAACTCTGTTATGTCCATAGTACTGCTCATGTCTATAGCCGACGGTTACCACTTTCCATCAGGTGGGCAGTCAGCTTGTTTGCCATTCTAGGTTACATAAAAAAATATGGCATATTACATATACATTAATTATATTTTTCCAAATTCCTGTTTTTACACTTTTATATACACACAAATTCATTACGCGCATACAAGTATATTTATTTCTAGTATCGCTTTGTTATTACATTTCTAGTCTACATACATCTGTGGTGCTGACGACCTATAAGCAAATTAAAATACTTACGTCTAAAATATGACAGTTATGTGTGCATTGCCTAAGTCGAGCAGTTTCACTATATACTTGTCTTCTTTTTCTGTCTTCTTTATCGGGTGGACCGTAAGTCTTTTTACTTGAAAACGCTCCTGCTAAATTCTGAAATTATAAGATTTTTTTTGTTTTAAGCAAAAAATATATTACCACAATATATGTACTCGTAATACTATTGTATTAAATTACAAGCTGTGCCCGCGACTTCGTCCGCTTGGTTATGGGTATGAATGTGAATGTGGATAAAAATTACAACAATGCTTCTCTGTACACGTTATTAGATGTATTGCCGTCAGGGACCAAAGCATATAGGTTTTTAGGATCGCTCACGCGCGACAAAGCAACGTAAAGCTGACCGTGCGAAAAACAGTTAACAGTTAAATCCACACCCGTAACTTTTAGCGTTCGCCCTTTTGCTTGGTAATGGTCATTGCATAGCAAAGGCTTGTACGTAATTGGACCCGTTTGAAAGTAAATGGAAAATTAGTGAAAATCAAAGGAATTCGAGATATGAAAACGCTTTCACCTATCTACACCTCATTAACTCTATGATATTTTGCTGTAAATTCATTACTTTTAACCTGGTACCATTACAAAGTTTTGGAGGACTTAGACTTCTAAGCAGCATTATAGATACTCCGACTTTTAAATTTATCTTATGAGCCGGTAATCCCGAGGCATTAAGAGATTCTAAAAATTCTACAAGATATTTCGTGGATTCGTTTGTAGATTCCATTATCCTGTTAATGGAGACATACTGTACACTATCCCCCGAAATATAACTCAAAACTTAGCATTAAGAAAGATTTTTTAAGACTCAATGTCGCCGTGTCTTTTAAGATTTGGCCATGTCCTCTAAATCTGACCATAATTTGAAGTCTAAAGGGTCGAAATATAGGCTAGATGAGGGCCAGTCTTCAGTTCTTATAAAGTCCGGAACTTTGGCTTGAAGCCAGGCTTGGATAGTTCGTGCCTTGTGACCAGGTACAGAATCCTGCTGGAAAGTCCACGGTATATTTTTAAAAAGTGTATTGCTGAAAGATTTCACAACACGATCTAAGACTGTATCTTGATACAATTTGGCTGAAGTTTTCACTCCTTTTTCACAAAAATGTAGTTTTGTGACTCCTTGATAAGACATGCCCCACCAAACCATCACTGATGCAGAATGATGTCCACCTTGTGCCTTTCCGACCACTTGAGCAGCTTCTATAGAACTGTGAACGTACACTTTATCACTTTGCTTATTGTAATGTTCTTCAATCGTGAAAATTATTTCATCGGTAAAGAGGGTATTTCTGTGCCTTTCACCTGCGTATCGCGGCAAAAAACGTTTTGATCGATCCAATCTCTTTAATTGTAAAGATTGATTTAGGTCATGTCCTGTATATCGACGATAAGCACCGAGTTACTCAATTTAAACCTTTTCCTTTTTAAGTCGGTAAAAGTAGCTTATAGGTAGCTAGTAGCTTATATTATTATTTTCTCTATCTGGTAATTTAATTTCGAGTAATTTTCACTGAAAAAATCTTACCTATTCGGAATAAGTGACACATATACAGCCTGTCGTAACTGTCATCTGTTTTGAAAACAAAATACCTACATACGCCCTGTTCTGATATCATGAGTGTGCAGACACATCATCTGAACTTTCTCGATAGCAGAAATATAAACTTTTAACTTAGTAACATCATTCAATACGACTCAGTGAAAGTCATCGATCGTCAAAGTCATCAGGGATTGTAATCACAAGGACGTTTCTTAAAAAAAATCAAATTATTCATCATTTCTTAAAAATATCCCTATGAAAAAAAGAAAAAAATATCTAATGTTTAAAAGATGTTTTATGAAGTACATATTTTTGATGATTCTTCTTCTTTTACAACTTCAATCGTGAACACAAACAACCTATGAACAAGATGTTTGGTAGATATTACATTGAAAGTATTTTAATTTAGAAAGCGGAATCGTAAAGATTTACAGGTAAAGTTTGCTTTGCAATAAGCTATTTTTAATTTCGCAAGGAATAAAAAGGTGCAATCGTCATAAAATAATATGAGATTAACAGAGCAGTAAATGGTATCTATGACAAAATCTATTCAGAATTCGCATAACTACGAAAAAAAAATCAGACGGATGAAATATATAAAATATCCTATGAGTTAAAATATGACATATAAACTAGCTTCATAAACTTTCAGCCGATTTAACTGACCGGTTATTTTATAGCACTTTATATGTGATTCTTTACATTTATATAACTTTTTTTATGATCCGATTGAAATGAAACAAACACAAAATATTAAATGAATTAAATTGAAACGCATTAGTGATAACCGTGTTCAAATCGGTTAAGCCGTTTCTGAGATTAGCGTGCACAAACGTACAGAAAACAGACAAAATTTCTAAAAATCATCGTTTTCGGTTCTATTGCGTTCATAAGAGAATAATAGTTTTTCTTATATATCTTCCATGTACAGACAGCGACTACTTACGATTTTATTATATGTATTGACTGATATTGAATGATTGATTAATTATTTCTTTTTTAATTCTTTCTAATATTATAAATGTGAAAGTGAGTTTCTTTGCTTGTTAACTTGTAGCACCTTAATGGCTTAACTTACTGCTATGAAATCTTTTTCATCCCGGTCAGTAAACATATTCGGCTCACGCGCACGAAGTCACGGGTAAAAGTTAGTACTGAATAATTTTAATCTTTAACATTACGCATGCAATGCATGCAAGGCAGTGAACTTACGTATCTACGACAGACAGCTTGTCGCCTTACTATAATTGAAGCTCATATATGTTGGTATTAGTTCTGTTAGTTAGTGATGAAATCATGAAATCGATGAATTAGTATTGTTGGGAAAATGTTGGGTCTTTTTCTCTCTCTTGTTTATACTTTACGTTTTCTGACACAAGGATTTTTTTTCTTTCTTTTACAGAAGACTACAGTAACAAATTTGAAACCTTTCTATGTATCTACCTAATTTTATAAAATTCTGTTAATAGTTTTATTTTATAATTAATAGTTGCCTGTATAATTTAATAACGGATTATGGTTATGAGTAGCCTGGTATTTCATTTTCATAGAAATTTTTAAACACCGTTTGTATATACTTATGACACTACAAAATATAACTAGATTTTTTGAAGGCTATTGCTATTGCCTTCTCAAATTTCATCCCGATTTTGATAAATTATAAATTTAAATACACAGAATTTAAACTTGAATAATATTTACTCAATTATAAAGAATCATACAATCCCATTTTTAGCGTGTTTCACGCCATACCGTAACAAATACACAGATATTAATTCCAAAAGGCTGGTCCATAGCTAATTTTGTTGCATCGCTAATTTATAGCAAAAATATGTGTAGTTATTTTAACCTATATTATTTTCATAACACAAAATATTTGCTTTGTCTATTTATATGAAATAACAGAACTAATTTAAACATTTCAAATAAGAGCACTTATTTACGTGCATGTGTAAATACTGCCTCTTCTAATAAATCGTTTGTGAACTAGATATACAGTATTTGCCTACTGCAAAGCAAATAATTGGACACGTATATGTGGTAGAGGTAAATTAATATGACAGTGCAAATATCTGGTTACATCAGAAGCTTGCATCTACTGTTTGCTTTACCTAAAAGCGACTTTGAAGCAAATAATTATGCAACTATGTATTAAACAGGTAAAATAATAATTTCAACGTAAATTCCTCATATAATACAAACCAAAGGAGACTTTGTACGAAAGTAGTTTCTGTATTCGTTTTTTCATAATGTCACCAAGTATTCTGTGATGTCTATGATGCTGGTCATGTTTATTTAGCTTGTTTGCCAATTTTATAAACTATTTATAAATATTATAAAAATATTGCCCTTAAGAATAAAAATAAAAAGCATTAAAAAAAAAATAAAAAAAATATCATTATCGTCGAAAGTGTTGACTGTACCCAACGGATCTCCTGACTGAAGACGATAAAAAACCAGACCCCCCCCCCCCCCATAAGGCCAATACTGGGTGTGTATACAATTTGCATTCCTACGAAACCGGAACGGGTTGTTGTTAAATAATAAATTTAACGTACATTCCGTAATAAATATCTGGCGATTGTTTTAACATGGAAAATAGCCACAATCAATAAAGAGAAGCCAATCCATGCGGCCGCTGTAATCGACTGAGATAAGTCATCCATTTGTGTTAACTTGTAAAGTCTGTATAATACAAGTACCTGAAAAAAAAAAATGAAAGATACCTTCAGATCTTCCAAAAATAGAGGTGGATGTCAGTAAATTACCACCAAACTCGCCAATTAGCTTAATGTAGGACTTTTATTACCAGATTCTTTTGCAATGATATTTTACTTGTCAATACAATAACCTTTGTATTATTTTACAATAAACAATCGTGCCATTGCCTTCTAGTATTTTAAGGTCGATTTCATTATAAGTGAAAATGTCTAATAAGCTATTTATTGGATATACCAACTGCAATACGATTAAGGAACAATTACTTTTAATTAATTTGTTTTGTACGTGAACTATCATTATTCTTTATCGAAATCACCATCTTCATATCAGCCCTTAACTGTTCACTGCTGACCGTAAGCATTCCCCATAAGGGGAGTTTTGCCAGTAGTTGCCATGCTTGGCAGGTAGGTTGAAAACCGCAGTTAGGGTAAGGTAGGGTAGGGTAAACATCTATATGTTTGAGAGGAACGCTGCTGCCCATCCATAGACCACTAAATTCCCTTAGTCACACCTTACGACACCCACGGGAAAGAAAGGTATGGTCTAATTGCAACAAAAACTGAAAATTGAAGGATAAAAAGGGTTTTTGTAGTTTGTTGTGTATTTCTGTGTCTTATTTTTAAGGGACTAATTTAAAAGTCATCAAGATTGGGTACCAAAACAAGACTAGTAAACAAAGAACAAGGCCTTTTTGTATAAATAAGCATGCAGACTTAGATTACATTTTCAACCTTTGAAAAACTTACGAATAGCACGATAGGCAGCAACATCCAGCATATTGTCCAAAACTTTGTTGGCTTGAAACCGAGCCAAAAATGTACGTCGGTAGAGAACCTCCGAACTCCATACACCCACATAACGACGGCCACTTTAAAACCACCCAGATATAAAACAGTCACATTTAGACCGTATATTAATCCCAGTAGTCTGCTACTTGAACTCATTGACTGCAAGGATAAAAGTACATTCTGAATTAGTTTCATAAATAACGGACATACACGTAGATGTCGCAGATAGACAGTTAACCAATACTTCTTAACTGACATTTATATAACACAGTTATTGTATTTCTTTTTCTCTAACTCACCTATATAATTTTACATATTAGAGAAATATTGTTTACACATTTAATATAATCGTAACTGGTCACTGTCTGTACATATAAGATATATAAGAAAAACTATTATAGGGGGGCCTTATGAACGCAATAGAACCCAAACGACACTTTTTAGAAATTTTGTCTGTTTTCTGAAGGTTTGTGCACGCTAATCTCAAAAACGGCTTAACTGATTTGAACACGGTTTTCACTAATGCGTTTAAATTTAATTCATTTAATATTTAGTGTTCGATTCATTTCAATCGGATCATAAATAAAAAAGTTATATAAATCTAAAGTATCACATATAAAGTGCTATAAAATAACCGACCAGGTAAATTGGCTGAAGTTTTTTTATTATATGTATTGACTTTTAAAAATTCTGTCTACTCGTGCGAAGCTGGGTCAATTCACTAGTTGTAAATATGTATTTGGAATAAATTAATACTCAGGATATTATCTGTTTCCTATAAAATTTTGCCCGCGTTAAGAAATACTTGCGGCTGACTTTTAAAATAGGTATACATAAGTACTTAACTGGTAAATTTTTGGTTCTAAAAATGAAATAAGTTTAAATAATCTACTTAATTTTTGCTAATATTTATTATAAGTTCTTGCTAGACTAAAAGTTTCTAAATAAAATATACATTAACAAAAATTTTGAGAATTATAAAAATTATAAATGAAATTCTGTTAATATTATTACGTAATTAGATTCAATATTTAGGTTAAATTTACAATTAAATACTTAAAAGGAAAGTCTATCAAATCTGTTGAATCCGTTGATTAACGTGGTACTAATTTAATCGATAATTCGTTGAAATGATGTTATGTGAATGACAAAGGCATGAGTGGTACTATTAGTACAGCTAATTTGACAATTAACTGACAAAAAGATGGCCCGTTTTTGAGGCTCAATGCTCTGTTTTATCTAAGAAAGCCTATAATCACCAATTATTGTCCTACATAACAGCTCATTGTCATTGGCCGTGGTCCTGGCATGGAATAGGCCACACCTTCCTTTCCTGTGAGTATCGTAAAAACCGAGTAAAGGAGAGCGAGGGATGGGCAGCAGCCCTCCTCCCAGCAGCGTCCCTCTTAAAACATGTCTAAAGTCTGACTGCGGTTGCCAACCTGCCTGCTAATCAGCAACTACTGGAAAAACCCCAAAGGAAAGCCTTATGTTCAGCAGTGGACAGGTAAATGTTGATGTGCTAATAACAGCTAACTAACAAATTGAATAGGTAAGTACATTATGTAAAGTAACTCTCAGATGTAGATTAATGTATACATACAATTATCATTGTGTACCTGCATAATATGTATTTTCTAGTATTTTCAGGTTTAACCAGATGCAACTTTTATGCCAAAGTCGTTTGCTTGAGTATCCCTATTCCAATGTTTCTGTCGTTAACCAACTATGTTTGCATTTGTGGGGATATTAGAAATGACAACAGATGAGTTCCATGGAGAGCACAGTATATTTTGTGATTTCTACGGTGTTATTCTGTGAATGTCTATACGCAACGGTTACCATGGTTACCACATTCCATTAAATGGACCCTCGACATGTTTACTATTGTATTTTGTATAAAAAAATAAATGTTGGAAACCAGCACTATTGTATCCTCGTCTTAAAAAGTCCAGTGAAGTTCGTAAATAAAGCGATCAAACATGTGTTGTAAACCAAAAGGCTTGAATATATGAACAGTGTGACTATATACTTATACTTCGTATGCAAGGTAACTCCGACAAGGCGCCGTGCATGTAGAATATTCGATTCCAACTCACAAGCTGAGGCGATGAATTTTTTGTAGATCACTTGAATGTTTTATAACAGTAGACTTGTTTAAAGGTAATAACTTCGCGAGACCTCCGCTTATACTCGTATTTTCTTTTTAAGCGATTTCCAAAGGAGGACCTTCTAATTTCGTCTGCATTTTGAAATAACTGATTTCCATGTATACTTTTGTAATATTCGCCCCACATTAAGTTTGTGATGATTGAAACTGCTTTTTCTTTACGAAGCAAAATCTACTTGTAAATAGTCGCACGTCTTATATACCATCATTAGTTCATACTATGACGATATAAATCTATTTATTTGGGATAAAAAATGTACTCAATATTTATATTAAAACTAGCCGTAGTTCCCGTATATCATTCTTATTTAAATCCTCCATGAATCTGGTCTTATATTGTATTATATACTTAAATGATAATTACATATCTAATACCACCTTCATAAAGTTTCGGTCAATTCAACTGAATGGCTATTTTATAGCATTTTATGTGTGATTATTTAGATTAATATAACTTTTATATTTTTGAACCGATTGAAAAAAAGCAAACACTAAATGTTAAGTAGAGCAAACCGCAACGCATTAGTGAAAACCGCATTCAAATAGGTTAAGCTGTTTCTTAGATTAGCGTGCATAAACGCACAGATAAACAGACAAAAATTCTGATAATCATTGTTTTGGGTTTTATTGCGTTTATAGTAGTTTTTTTTATTATATATCTTCCATGTACATACAACAATCAGTTATGATTTTATTATATGTATTAATTGATTGATTAAATTTTATAGTCACTAATTATGTTTCCAGTATTGTGCATATCTAATTATCGCTCATTGAAATTACGATGAATATGTGGAATATTAAATATCTACGTAAATACACGTGAATTTATAAGAGACAATAGTCTGCATAGTTTGAACGTTGACATAATTACTGAAAATAAAATCAGTCTGCACTTTACACGCATATTTTATATATTAATTACTAAGTAGGTTCTTTACGAGGCAGGTAGAAATAAAAAAGTGCCATGGTCCTCTATTCTTATATATTAAAACTGGCTTCATCGACTTTCATAACTCATCTCATGCATATATGTCAGTTTCGAAAACTATTAACACTTTCATCAAACTGCAGGTTGATGTTTTTTTATGGGTGACAATGAAATGGTAACCCCACCTGCGCTTTCAGTATACACCGGCGAGGCACCAGTGAAGGATGATAGGTAAGAATGAAGCAGGTCAGTTAGCCCATCGTGACGAATTCAACAAGAATTGTTCACGATGGTTTCCAGGGGGAACCACGCGGAGGTCGACCTAATAGGGCACATTTGCTAACAATCCCTGATGTTATGATACAACTTATGTGATGATGATGATACAGCCGATAATACATACATGGAAAAGTAAGGGGTGACCTATTCTATGCCGAGGGGAAAGGGATTGTTAATAATGAATTTAATAACCCCATTGCTAGCAATACACTCTATTAGGTCGACTTCTAATCGATTTCCCCTGGAAACTATAGTAACTAATTCTTATTCAATTGGTCACTATGGGCCAACTGACCTGCCTTCATCCTCATTCACTGGTGCCCCGACAGCGTAAATCGATAGCGCAAGCAGGGTTACCATTCCATCTTCATCCATTAAAAGACCTATTCTATGCCGGAGCACACGGCCACACAACTATTATAATTTTATAAATAAGAATAAACAATTGGTTAAAATTAAGAAACATGGTAATCATAATATATTAATCTGATCTAATAAACGATGATAGATTCATCCTCTATCACGTAACATTAAAATAAACTCGGCGAAATGCGGGCAAGTGGGGTGATAGGCCCACCACAACGGTTGGCTAACGCACCTGACTACCTTATCTGGGTTTACAATCGTGAGTATATTTAATTTTTTTTTTTATATTTATATAAAGAAATTCCAATACGTTTTCTTCTTCTGTAGTTCAATTTTAAACATGTAACTGGTAACGAAGCGATAAGATCAATAACGTTTGTTCTAATTACACTGCATAAGTAAATATTACTTCACGTATCGTATCATAGTATATATTGGGTCTTTAAATATACTACTCGTTCCTTTTCATTAGAATTTCCGCGCATACAACACAATCCATACAAATAAATACAATAATATTACACTATTTTTAGATAAACAATATTCTAGTCGGTATAGTTTTGTTTTGATTTTTCATATTTTAACTATATTTTTCTTTGATTTTTTTTTATATATATAACTTAGAATGGCACACAAGCTGACGGCCCACCTGATGGAAAGTGGTAACCGTCGCCTATAGACATGAGCAGTACCATGGACATAACAGAGTATACTGTTTCGCCCATGATACCCCCCATGCGTTGCCATTCCTGAGGACTCAGGTGTTATTCTTCTGTACCCTGTAAATTCACGCCATATCCCACCTTTCAAACCGAAACACAGCCATGCAAACACAACTGCTTCACGGTAGAAACACGAATGGGACAGAGGTACCCAAGCAATCAACTTTTGTACAAAGTCTCCCTCTGGTAATTACAAATTTATTTACAAATAAGTACTAATTAAATAATAAAATTACGAGGTGAATAGTTAAACGAGTGAAACAAAATCGGTGGCAATTGTAATAATATTCATTCTGATAATAAAGCTTTTGATTATGGTCAGAAATATACACGGAAATCAAATAACAATTGTGCTGTTATCGAGTTCAATTCAGACAACAGTCATATGAAGCTTACTCTTCACGTAATAATGTTAATTTAATTTCCAAATAACATTTATTGCCAATCAAATTGTAATGAGTTAAGTGGTAATAAATATTTATTTAATTTTTAATTTAATGTATAATTTAACTAGTTTTCCCATGTGGTTTTATAGGAGTAATTAAGGGTTACATATCGATGTATCACATGGATTTCAACCCTATGAGGAACATCTTCTTGATGTTGCCGACATTCAATATTTTTGGATATTGGCGATTCCTTATTTCTTAGCTCAACCTGTTACAAATCACATAATATACGTTACATAGTCCTTCTTTGATGAATACTATATGTTAATAAATTATATAAAAAACTAAAAGTACTGAACACTATTTAAGTTTTTCTCTTTCCTATAGAGATGAATGGCGGTCAGGCTTTATATATAGAGAATTCATTAGACTGTGATAGTGGGTCAATAGCAATAAACACGAGAACAAGAACTAACAGAACAGAATATTTACTATTATTTGGTTCTTAAATTTGAACTACAGCTCTCGAGGAGTAGTACATTTCCAATTACAAACAATTATTTACTACAATTCTCGTTAAGTGATATCTGAGTATCTAGCTGGAATAATTTGATTTTCTCATAATCTTCTTATATATATTGGTGTTCTAATGATAGTTACTACTTAGATTTGAACAACAAACGAAATTTAAGTATCTATTACATTGACTTAGTATAAAAAAATAGAATATAAGAAAATGTTTTAAAACATAGGAGATATACTACTATAAATTAGTATAATAATTAAAAACATCGACTTCAATTGTGGCATAACCAGTTATTTTGATTTAAAGACTACGAAACCGATTTTGTTAAAATTTTTATACGACCCATCTATGTGCATATCCTTTCAGATAAAAAAAAAGAATTTCCAAATCGGTTTACAACTAACGAAGCTATGATGTAACAAACATAAAAAATATAACCTAATTGAGAAGCTCCTTCTTTTTCAAATCGGTAGAAAAGGAGGACCAATTTTTTAATAACAAAAAGTGTACTGCAATCAGTCTTTTAATTTAATATGTGTATATTTCTTATTTTATGGTTTTGTCACATGACCAAAATGAGAGGAGAAGGGGGCGGGGAGTTGCCAGTAATTACCACGCTTGGCAGGCGGGTTGGCAACCGCAGTTATGATATGGTGATATTTTACGTCTTACGACACCCACAGAAAAGAAAAGGTGGTCCATTCTATGCCTGAACTACATGGCTCTTAAATCTAATATATGTACAAATAAGTAAAATAAGACATACTATACAATTAAATAGAATAATATTTATATGATTTAACAATAATAGAAATAACATTGCTTTGTTTCGGATTGAAGGATAGGATATGGCAGTGATTTTACATGGTACAGAGGAATAACACCTGAGTCCTCAGAAATGGCAACGCATGGGGGATATCATGATGCTGCTCACGTCTATAGGCGACGGTTACCACTTTACATCAGGTGGATCTTCAGCTTATTTAACATTTTAAGTTGCATAAAAAACAATATTAGATTTTAAATCTTGAACATAAACAATCTCGTGGTCATTCGACGAAACAAGAAAGTACTTATTAATTGTATGAAATACTGATTTTGTTATATATGTTATGTAATTAAGGGTTTGTCACGCTAACCTACATCTGAACAACATGAATCATAATATTATGGTTATTACGTTTTATGATTCAAGGGTGCTACCTAGCTAGGTACGAGTACAATGTTCACGCGACAAAGTGAATATGTAATTTGCTTTATTTCCAAAACATTCTTTGGAAACTTCATTAAGATGCTCGTAAAAATTAATATTTTTATTTTATTTTACATAGGTACTTAAATTACATCTATTTCATAGATACTGGCTTACATTACACAAAAATATAAATGTGAAAGTTTGTAAATGCCTTTTACTTAATTGGGCTTAAGCTGCTGAGCAGTTTTAAATGAAAATTGTTTGGTATATAGATACTCAAATATCATTCATGTCAATTCATTCGAGCGCAGCCATAGTATACAGTTAGTAAAAAAATAAATCATAGTCATATGAGTATTATTAGCATCTATATTTTTGTAACACATACATTGTTTCTACCTATAGTATTAAGCTTTAATGGATACTAGAGTAAGGATGGCGTGAAGCAAACTACCGGCTGAAGTATAAGTAGTTATAATCACGCAAGTCATTTTGAAGGAGTGATCAAGTTAAACTTAACTTTTTTTTATGCAGCTTACGAATTTAGCCCTTATGAACATTTAGTCTTTACCCACGACTTCGTCCGCGTGACCGGAATATATTGAATGACCGGAATAAAAAATAGCCTGTGTCCTTCTCCGCCCCAAATAGGACGATTGGTCGAGTCGTTAATACGCCAAAAGGTAACAAATATACCTCATTCATATTTATAATACTAATAAGGATAAAAAACGAGTTTTGAATTCCCCATGGTACTAAATTTGATTCATACTTTTGTCCTAAATGTCACAATTATATTCCTATTTTTCCAAAAATTTACTGGCAGACAATGCTTCATAATATTAAATACGCTTTTTACATTGTATTCTTTTACAGAATATGGTCAATAAATATATATTACATGAACCACATGAATCTTCTCTGATAAATACTCCCATAGGACACAATACCAATGGGATTTTAAATTAAAACCATTTATTATTTTTCAATACAAATAAACGTCATGGCGGACGAATGCATTAATAGTATGTATAGATCCGAAAACATATACTCACCACAGTTATAGGGACAGACAAGCTAAATCCCAAAAAACATAATATTCCAACTATGTAAATATTCTTAATAGAACGAAATTCTGCATGCAAAAGCTTCGACATACTTAAAGTCAACATCGACTGAAAAAGAGAAATTGCATTAATTTTTCAGAATCAATTTCGATTCAACAATGTATTATAACATTCAATCAAAAATACCTCAAAATGTAATGTTAAAATAAAAATAAATAAATTATACTCAGGAGAATAATCCCCAATTGAATGAAATAATCGGATTAAATGGAATAATCAGAGATATATTTCGACATAGTAAAATAATTTCCATTGTAAATGTAATACTCGACATATTCAAATTTTGTCGCGAACATTAGAATCCAAAGTGCTAGGGGTAAACTTACCACCGTTTCTCGGCCTTTTCTAAGGACAATTTAAGTATAAAACAAACACACGGCACACTTGATAGAAAATGGTAACTGTCTGCTAGAGATATAAATAATGCTATGGACTCATACGTTGTCATTCCTAAAGAACTCCTCATGGATCTAAGAACCATACTGTATTCTTAGGTATTATCTTTTTATTGAATTTTCGTCAGTATTTTTCATCACCATTGAGTTAATCATCATCATGCCAGCTATTAACTGTCCACTGTTACAACAAAGGCCTGCCCCATAAGAATAGTCTATATATGGAATAGTCATATACCATAAGAAACAGTCCCGAGCTACATGCGACGAGACACCTGCAGAGTTAATACTAAGTTAAAATTGATACACAAAGTTTTTTATTAATCGTAGTCTTACAAACGACCTTTGCGGTCTGTAACTTAGATTTCTGTACCACAAGGTCACGGCACTCTCGTGGTAACTACTGTAAAAATAAGCATACAACTGTGTCGTTTTTATGCGCCATGTGCCAAAAGTGTTACCGTGAACAACATTCCTACAATTTTATAACTCTTATAGGTGTAGCGGTTACTAGACCACCTCATATTTCGATGGTTGCGGCTTCAATCCTTGTAGAATACAAACATGTGTATTAAGTATGTCCGTTTGTATTCATCTGAATATTTTTTGAGTAAATATATCTATAAGTAGTATAAAACCTATAGAAAATTTCTGCGTAATTGAGAAACAATTTATGTGATTGGACATAACAAAACTATGTCTAGTATAAAAATAATTTTGATTATGATATCAAAAAAAATAGCAATATTCACTATGTGATGTCGTTCTTGAGAACTAAGTAAAATACACCTATACTATACCTGATAATTCGACAGCCCCAACCTTCTAACCAAAAGAGACAAGCACAAATGCTTGGAGGCACAAACTCGTACAGAACAGAGGTATGCTGATGACTTCTATATGTATATGTAGAATTTCCCATACGGAACCCTACCTACGTTTGAATAGAATTCTGCGCGAGCGGACAAAGTAGCAGCGAGGTTTACATAAAAGGGCCATAAATCTTGAGTGGAAAGTCCAGTCTGGACTCTAGTTTTATTCCTATAATGATTATAAAAAAGCCATCAGTACTTTCTTTGTACAAAGGTATTAATATATAAAATTTATTTAAGATTGTTGAATGTGATGTCGATACCTACAAATTGGTAAATATAATGTATAACAGGGTGTAGTATTATACGACAATAAATAAAAAAATCAGTGAAGTACATGAGATGAACTCGCATACAATAGTCCAAGTCACTGTTATTACTTTCTTTAAATAAAACAAATTTTAGGCATTTCAAATTATTCATACACTACAAGACGAATGTTTTAAAATGTCGCAATAACATCATTCTCATATTAGCCATTAACTCTCACTGCCAAACAAGGCCACTCCCATAGACTGCCATAAGGAACGGTCCCGACCCAACTGTATTCAATGATTCTCTACAATGAATTTGAGGTCGTCGATCTATCTAATAGGGGGGTAGTTCTCCACTGCGTTGCCCGTATGGGGTCGCCATTCAATAACCTCTCTTCTCCATCGATTGTAGGTTCTTCGAACTATCCAATCAGCTCATTGCCTCTTCAATATGCTTATCCTTCGGTCTATGTTGATAACTTTGGTTCTTCTGCGGATATCCTCATTTTAAATTCTATCACGCAAAAAAACTCCAAGCATAGTCCTTTCCACAGCTCGCTGAGCAACTTGAAGCTTCTGCATACGGCTAATCGTATAGGACTATGTTTCGGTTCCGTAGCTCATAACCGCAACACGGACTGGTTAAACACCTTCATCTTTACATTCTGAGGTATTTTAGGCAAGAATATGTAGCTTAAGTTTCCGAACGCTGCCCAACCAAATTAGATTCGTCAGTTGATCTCTTGGTCAAAGTTGTACTTACCGAGTCTGACAACTTGTCCCGGGTATATATACTCATAGACTACTTCGAGCGTAGTCTTCCCAATTCTAGCCGGTTTACGTTAACGTTCAACGTTAGCCATGATTTCAATCTTGTCCATGTTTATTTTAAGGCAGATAACAGGTAGAATGTTGAGAACCACTATTGAAGTCATTGATTATAGCATTCAAATCCTCCAGGGAGTCAGTCATGATTATTTATCATTGGCAAATCAAAAGTGAGTAATGTATCTGGCATTGATGTTTATATCATATCTTTTTCAGTTTAGGAGATTAAAAATATCTTCCAATGTAGCTGTGAAAGGTTCCGTGGATATAATATCACCTTGTCTTACACCTTTCTTCAATGGGATGGGTTTCTTACCCTGGTTTTGTACTCGGATAGATACTCGTAGGCTTACTGTACTTACACTTCAGCTCTTCTATATACCTATAGTCAATCTGGCACCGACGTATAAATATATTACCGCCCATGTCTTGATCAAATCATACGCTTTGGCCGTGACCCCGCGGTTCGTGCTGGGGGGAGAGGGTCCGAAAGTTTAGGTAGTATATTAATATATAGTGGAATTGTGTATCTTATATATGCCTACAGAAAAGTCTGCGATGGCATATGTGAACCTACTTATATCCATTTTAATACTTTAAAAAATTGGCAATTATAAAGCGATAATGTAAAAGATATTTACACAAATACAGTATTAATCCTCATCATTTTAAGCAAGTTAGACGCTTTAAGCATTTCATACATATTATTTTATTCTTTTACACCATAAAATTTAAATGAACAGAAAACTACATCTCCTCGGAGTAACATAGGCTATTTTATATTTTCTGTAAAGAATCAGGAAGAAGCCGGAGCAAGTTACTAGTAAATTAATATTATAATGTACAAATGACACCCTTTCATATGACACCTCATTTAGACTAGTAATCCTATTTTAAAATTTTGAGTACCCTAGCAAAGAAAATAAAAATATGTTTACAAGTACTTCTATTGTTAAATATATGTGCCAAAATATATAAAACTATTTCAAACGTCTATGGCTTTCGTAGTTGCTGGGATATAGCGCTGTGAACGGATGGACGGACAGACAAAGTGCACCATAAAGGATCGTTTATAAATATTTTACTAAAACTGGTGTTATCTTTCGGAAGTACATATTACTGGTTATATGATTGGAATTATTTAATATCGCTACCATTTATATGTGTACAATAAATATAATACCAACATTCGAAGATTGAGCGCCATCACTACTACCAAATCTCGTGCAACCTTTCATCATTATCATCATCATCATTATATCTACCTTTAACTCTACACTGCTGAACATAAGTTTCCCCCTGAGGGGTATTGCCAGTAGTTGCTACACTTGGCAGGAAGATTGGCAACCGTAGTTAGGTTTAAAGATTTTTTAAGCGGGAGGCTGCTGCCCATCTCTCGTCCTCCCTGAGTCGTCTTTTACGACACCCACGAGAAAGGAAGACTCATTCTATTATATGGCTTATTCTATGCCAGGACACATACTAACACATGCTACAACCATCCATATTAGCTCTCAATCTACGACTGCAAAACATGCGTGGACGAAATAATAGTCAGAGATTCAGGTCTAATGGAATAATGTAGACCTTCTGGTAGTAAAAGAATTCTAATCAGATAACCGGGTTCCTTTATACCTTTTTGGTTCAGAATCTTAAAAATGATAATAAGTAATATTAAACATAAACATCACTTACAAGATAAGCTATCGTTGCGATCATAATATTTGCATAAATATAAATTATGTACAGGCGATGTGCATACAAAAATTCCGTGCTCAGAGGGAGAATGGCGAACAGTAAGTAATGAGGGGTAATCGATATTTCCACTTCCACACAAGAAGTTAGTACCAAGTACAATATCCGCACTATGAAGGATCTTGCGAATGATACAACAGTGAATACTATGGTAAATAAGATGACTGCGTTGTCTATCATAGTGTAAGGAGACATTGTACCAAAGTCGTAAACCCCTACAAAACCTATACCATAGGCGTAAGTGACATGATCCACTGAGGCGCTCTGAAAGAAAAACAAATAAATAAAAATAATTATATTTCCAATTGTATAATATATAACTGGGCATATATTTATTTATTGGTACATCGACATTTGTCTATGAAATTTTTTAGGTTAGAATTTTTCAGGACATGTCTTTTTCCAACAAGGATTCATTTAGAAAGACTAAAACAATATATATTATTATTTTATTAAGCATTGATATGTAAGTTCTATTATATAGAATAAAAATCGAAATCTTATATAAGCTTGACAACTAAAAGCGCAATATTTTTAAGGAAGATAAAATATTTTTATCGTTTCTCAACCCACAGTTCTTTGAGAAAAATACCTTTAACAATTTAATATTATATCAATACACTAATAGCTGATTCCTATAATCTCTCTACTCATAGGAAACTCTCTATGAGTATTATTATTTATTAAATATTTGTAATGCTACGATTGAGACTGCATCAATTACACTTCAATTGGCATTGTCAATAATATTATATATAGTGACCTAAATTCATTAACAATTGTTACTAATTATTTCTAGGCACTTAAGACCTTGACTCATAAGTCCATTAGATAAAATGGATTCAACTCTAAGGTTAATTGATAGTTTCGGATACTCTTTATATTGCTATTTTGGGGTAACAAAATATATAAATGACTAGTTTAAATTAATATACTATGAATATATATATATATATATATATATATATATATATATATATATATATATATATATATATATATATATATATATATATATATCTCATCATCATAACTGCTACATCTGATCTCAAGTTAAATACAATCAAACACACAACAAAGTAAAACATGTAATTATTAACGTAAGTAAGAGTAACATAGTTCATTACAAACAAACAAACAACTAAATCTCCTTTTTTTATATTAGTATAGATTATTAGACGATCTCAAATGCATTGCAAGGAGTCAGTGAATTCAGGTGGCTCAGGACCATTCCTTATGGCAGTCTATGGACGAGGACTATGTCCAGCAGTGGACGAATAATGGCTAAAATGATGAATGATGATGATACATAAATCCAACGTATTTACATTGCATGAGGATTGAACCCATTATCGGTAAATGAATTTGTGTGAAAATTTTACACCATTTACTCAAAAAAATTAGAACTTTTTTTTTTTAAATACTTATAAATTAAGCTAAACTATTTTTTTTTATATACAACTTAGAATGGCAAACAAGCTGACGGCCCACCATGAAAAGCGGGAACCGTCGCCTATAGATATGAGCGGTACCATGGATATAACAGAGTACATTGTTTCACCCATGTACCCCCATGCGTTGTCATTCCTCTGTACCCTGTAAATTCACGCCATATCCCACCCTTCAAACCGAAACACAGCCATGCAAACAAAACTGCTTCACGGTTGAAACACGAATGGGACAGAGGTACCAAGCAAACGACATTTCTGAAAAATATAAGTGAATACTGCTGTCGATTCTAAAAGAAAAGGTAAGTTCTTTAATCACCTTTATTGTTCAACGTGATATATTTACTGTAATCTTTACCTACCTAATATTATAAATATGAAAGTGGGTTTGGTTCTTTGTTTGGTAACAATATTTTTTTTTAATTATTTGCTTATTGCCACATCAAACTTACAATAACATCATTAAAATATTGAATAAAGGAAATTCATTCCCTATTTTTTAATAACTAAAAAAGTTGTTTTATATTTTGCAAAAATTCAGAAAGTAAATTCTAAAACTATCAAATATCGAATGGCCAATATTTGTATTTGCTGACAAAAATAGGCCGCCATACACAGTCCCCGGTCTCCACTAAAAGGGTTATTTTTGTACAAGACCACACAAGTATCAGTTTACAATTGGAATGGTTCGCCAAAACCAAACAAGCATTCGACAAAATTATTTGATAGGGTAGTCAGTCGGTGGTATTTTGTCGATTATTGAGGTTGCGGTGAAAGCTTCACTTGTTTGTAGTAGAATTATTACTGAGCCCACGATTTAATCCGCGAACCGATATATATTAATTTAATAAAAAAATTAAATGGAAAGTTGAATGTTAAAATATGTTCTAAAAATAAACGGTTATTTTTTTTATACTAAACGGGTCTTTTTGTTTGTATTGTTATAATGACTATAATATTTTGGATACACACACAATGACGGAATGTCTGAGTGTGATTATACTCACTAACACAAAAAAAAATGTTGGGTATATTTTTGTGAAATAAAAAATATTCCTATTATAAAATTCAAATTAAAAGTAAAGAATACAGAAATATCAATCTATATATTTTTTCATCGACACTCTGTAAATACTCTTTTGAATTATATTTTATTTCAAATTCATAATCAAAATATTATATACATGAAAACTGAATGCTGTGTGATTACTAATAATAATGCCACGTTTTTACGACGTACCAAATATCATTATAATTTATTGTAAAGAACAATAAAAATAAACATCGACAAACAAACAACTCTTTGGACAAAATTAATTCTTGCAATGTGTTAGTACATTCCTACATTAAAGTTTTAATCGCGCAATACTGTTAGGTATTCCGTGGTAATGGCTGAAATTGAAACGATTTCTACAAATGAGATACCGTTGGATACAGCGTGGTAGTTCGTGGGATACCAAATAGATGAAGCTTGCATATTTTATCGATCGAGTGATCAATGCAAAAGACGCTGGCCAAAATAAAATTACATGAATATTAAACTTGGAAATAAATGGAAGTAGGTATTTAAACTAAAGACAAATAATTAAAATATGTATGATCTTTTACGCACCATAATAACATAATATTATACTATTTGCAACAATAATATTCATTTAAACTTACTAAATGAAATTGTATACAATCATAAGTCTACAGATATGCATATGAACGTGTTCAAATTATTGTTGCCTAAATATCTATTATCAATTAATCAGACATGATTTATTCAGAATGATCATAATTAAATACCAAGTAAATCGATGGTATCGATATAAAGATATGCTCAATATAATCGACTATAATATTATGACCGATTATAATTGATGTCGGTTTGCTGTAATATATGGTATGTATAGTGTTTTGTAATATCAATAATGAGTTCAAAAGAATACTATGGATATTAGAGATTATATCGATTTAGATAGTATTTCATTTAATTATAATATTTTATTATTTATAATTAATCATAATATACTATCGATTCCACATTCGATTTTTAATTTATTTGTGTCCGTAATTAAATTTTAGATAAAATCAGTAGCCAACGTTACTTAATGAACACTAACTTAAATATTTATGTTTATGTCTGTCTGCGTGTTACCCTAAACACAAAATATCAGAGCGGGTTTATCAACGGTTTTTTTTTTTTTTATAATTGGGTTAAAATACCTAGACTGTTTCATAGAAATTGGCTTAACGATATAAAAGATGAAGAACGATATATAAGAAATTACATTTGTTTGTATGAATTAAATTAATTGTATCTAACAAGCGGACGAAATTGCATGAATAACTACTAGTATTCTAAACGTATAAATCAATCAGAAATGTTCTGATTGAGCCGGAATTACTGAACTGGCTTGGAATCACAAAATTTTGAATTTAGATTCCATTGTGTTGAGTAATTATGTCTATTAAGGTTTATTTTACCCAAGATCAACAACTTGCAATTTTCGACATGTTCCGGTATCGTATGCCATTATCATCAGAAATATCACATACTGTTACATTTATTGAATATGTTATGTAGTATATTGTAGATTTTGTTTCCGAATCTAATGAATTTCTTCTAATATTAAATTATAGAGAAAAGTAACGTTTTTCGTAATTGTGTAATCTATATTTATATTATTACACAAATAATTAATTTAATTTAATTTATAGTGTCGACTACACAATCGATACTATCGATTAAACAGAATTGATATTAAAATTTGTATAAGTTAATTATTTAAAATTTAATAATTTGTTATAATTGATCACATAATACAATTATCGATAATAATCGATTATATCGATATCATTTAATCGTGTAATATTTTAATCAATTATAATCGATTATATTGGGGGGAAAGGCATTGTTAGCAATTGGAGTTTGACAACCTCATTGCTAGCAATATGTCCTATCAGGTCAACCTCCACGTGGTTCCCCCTGGAAGCCATCGTGAACAATTCTTGTTGAATTCGTCACGATGGGCTAACTGATCTACTTTATCCTTACCTATCATCCTTCACTGGTGCCCCGCCGGTGTATACCGATAGCGCGAGGGGGGTTACCATTCCATTATTATCCATTAAAACAAAATCTATTATATTACATATTTAATCTTAATTAATTAGATTATTTGATACTTCATTCAAACTATAAGTTAATAAGCGATACCCAGCTATGATTAATTAAATGAGATATATGACTAATATCGTCAAAAAGTTAGTGATAATTTTATTTTACTTCGGAAGAGTAGTCGGATTTTTGTGATTGTCACGTCGTCAAATTATATTTGTGTTTTATTTGTAATATATATATATATACATATATATATGTGTGTGTGTGTGTGTGTGTGTGTGTATATATATATATATATATATATATATATATATATATATAATTGTAGTAATATAATGTAATTAATTGTGTACCATGTAAGACCAAACCATGGACTATTTCTAAAAACTATCTTTTCCACTGAAACTAAACTACACCTAAAGGTTTTTTTTTTCCATTGCTTCTGTCGCTATGTTTTAATGCGACAACCTTCGTATCTTTGTCATATTGTCTATCTTATACATTTACTGAGATTCTTTTTTTTTTATTATTTTTTATTTTTTTTTATTTATTTATTTTACACCTAAAGGTTAAACATCTCTACCTATTCTGATAATGTACACCGCTAATGCCTTAATATATAATAAATAGTTGCTATAATAGTCAACATTCACATTGCAGTTGTGCGATGTCGATATTAGTAGTATGCAATCGTAGTACTGTTAGGTTCAGTGATTCAATTAAGAAACACGTCTCAATTTGCTGCATACCACAATTCCTCTCTCGTTCCACATTCCTTTGGTGTGAAATAAATAGCGTACTTTTTAATATGAAATGACTCTCAGTAAATAGAACATAATGCCGGTTTCCATTCGTGTAGTCAAAACACCGAAATGCTCTTTTAGTATGTAACCGATTAAAATTGATTAAGATTTTCAATTTCGCTACATTTTTGTGTATGTAACGAAACACTTTTGCTATTTTTCGGCTTATTTTCGTATCAGTAGATCCATATCAATTTTGTCGAGATCGAGGTTATCTTTTTTTTTTCATAAAAATCCTTCCGCTTTCACTACGCCAAAATCTAACTAAACAAAATGGCCAGTACATGTTTGGCGAATCTCTATGCCATGTCTGCACTTTATTAGTAAAACGTGAGACGATATCCAAAAAATGTATGTTCACAGATGACACTGCTTGCAAGGAAGTGACGAAAATTTTTACATTGTTTTTAATGATCATGTTTTAAAAACCTATTTACAACAGATTGCAAGATGAATAAATAATTCAACGCATAATTATACAACTTATCACTCGTTACGTTACAAAATGAAGTTAACTAATCAAATCCATGATTTAAAAGAACCTAGTTTTTTTCAAGGCTGAGATCACTGCCAAAGAGTTGTACAAAGTTCAACTTATACTCTGCATAATATAAATAACGGCGTGGACTTAGTTACTGTTCAAGATCTTGTTAAGTCACTAAGTTAGAGTAGTGCCGAATAGGATATACGCGGCACGAAAAGGTTGGGTGATAAAAACTAGTGATTTAGTAGTAAACGCTTAACACTTTAAATATTTATTAAAGTGGAGTCTACCTAGTGGAACTGCATTCTGAATTATGTAACTTAATGATACATTAGCGACAAGATTGTTAGCTTATTAATTATTTTGTGACCTGGACTAGTGAGATTTTATACTGACATAATAGTTAACATTAATATTGTACTATTATGGCTATAGCAGAATAAAATCAAGTTTCCTTTGGTATAGCAAATCCAGAGTCGTGATCACGTTCACAAAATCTAATATTCCTAATTTAAAAATTTATTGTTAATTACATAATATATTTCATCATCTCACCTATATTAATGTAACTGATTATACTGATAATATTCGTTAATATAACAGAAAATCGAATCGATCATATATTAAGAAATCACTAATTTATTTGTCGATGAGCAGCATTACATGCAAACAAACAAGAATATAAACGAATAAAAATAAATGATGTTTTGGATAATATAAAATTTTGCACCATAATTTAATTTTGATAATAAAAAAATGCTTCAGTTGCAATATAATCTATAAGAACTACACAAAAGTCGATCTTAAAGATTGCAAAAAGATTAACTAATATCTGTTTATAAATGATGAAGGTTTTATATAACAAATACATAAAAATGAAAATACAAGCTATTCGAAATTCTCCTATTTATTGAAGTCGCTTTTAAATAAGAGCGAAATAGAATTTTTGCATGAACCTTTTGTAGTTTGAAACAAAATATTAAAAATCCAATCTATACGCGTATCGTTAAAATGTTACATGAGGTTAAAGGTCGCTGTGAAAGGTTATTATTACGAAAATATCGTTAACGAACACTTTTATTAAAAAAAAATAATAAAAATAATATTCTTTTAGCAAATTTGCGAAGTCGAATATTTTACCAGAGGGGGACTTTGTACAAAAGTCGTTTGCTTGGGTACCTCTGTCCCATTCGTGTTTCAACTGTAAAAACTTGTGTTTGCATAACTGTGTTTCAGTTTGAAGGGTGGGATATGGCGTGAATTTACAGAGTACAGAGGAATAACACCTGAGTGCTCAGGAATGGAAACGCATGGGGGGTATCATGGGCGAAACAGTTCTGTTATGTCCATGGTACTGTTCATGTCTATGGGCGACGGTTACCACTTTACATTAGGTGGGCTGTCAGCTTGTTTGCCATTCTAAGTTATATAAAAAAAAATATCAATAAACAGGTAATATTAGTCTACATGCTTCACATTTACTCAAAAATCTATTTTTTCTAAAAATTTGTAAAAAGCAAATAGAAAAACATAATCTAATATTAAGACAAATAGATCAAGCTTACATATGAAATATTTTCACTTAATATTTTTACAGTCATATCTTCATTTACGAACTAATGCGTGTCTGTAGTTTTTTAATTACTTGTACTAAAAGAACCTTCCATCATAAAATATATATAAGCAGGAATATATTCCAATCAGGGATAATGTTTTAATCTTGTAACTTTTCATCACTATTATAAAATTATATAAAATAGTAGATTTACTTACATAAGTACGAGGAGCAGTAATATCCATCATTTGAAAAAAAGCAATTGAAGCATGATATTTAGTCGTAAACATGATTAAAATAAGTATAATAAGCGTAGAAAGGAACCTCCATATAAAAGCTATCTTAAAAAGCTGAAAATAAAAAAGTAAATGTTAACAACTAGTAAATAAGAAGTCGTCCATCGATATACAAAAAACTCAAGATGAACACTCAGAGACTAAAAACTAGTAAAAATACAGCGTAGTCATTTATAACAAACCAGTGAAATTTTAAATCGAGTGCAAAGAAATGTTTCTACAAAATTTATAAAAAGCAATGTGCATACCTAGACACGAAAATTTATTTACATTTATGCTACAAATTTCATTCGACTCATGCCTTACTCTAACACAACTAATTATATATTTTATAAATTTTATTTCGTGACAGTTTTTATTCCATGGTTTATTTATGTACTACCGACCCCGACTATAAAACAGTATGCTAATGTCCAATTGTAGTACAAATACAAAATCGATTCATTAAATGTTTTGTTAGATTAGCTTTCTGATAGTTTAAACAAAACATGGTATTTTTTTATTTAGAATACCAAGGAAACTGACCCCACACCTAATGGAAAGCAATAACCACTGCCTATAAACATAAATAATACCATGAACATTACAGAATATGCTGCGAAACCCATTGCATGTGCTCATTGTTCTATTGAAACAGACTATAATTTTTGCATGAAAATGGTATTCTTAGATTTTTATATATCAATGGAGATATTATCAAATTAATATATTTTTTAGGGTTCCCCAGTCGTTACGGAAATGAAAACGTTACCTTTAATCTTTATAATAATACATAATAGCCAAGTTTTCAGAAAATGACATAAATCAGTTAGTTGTCCCACATTCGTGTCTGGCCGTTATCATTTTAAGTATTTTACGTATTGCAATATTACGAATGTTATAATATTTAATATGAAAAAGAAAATATGGTAATTGACAGAGCACGAATGGAGAATTTAAAATATTAAATAACATTATCTATATAATACCATATTTATACCCAGTTTTGCAGACGTTCATAGGCTATTATTATTTATATATTTATTTAACTCTTTATTGCACCATAAATAAAAATATACAATGACAAGTGAATAATTCAAGTGAAATACAGTAACATAAATACAGATTGAAATATACACATAAAGGTACAACAGGCGGTCTTATCGCTAGGACAATCTCTTACAAACAACCTTTGGTTAAAGGAGAACAGATAGAAATGGGCAGGTGGCGCAAGAGTGAATTAATAGTTTTTCGTGCATAAAATACAAAAACCTGTAATGCACAATATAATATATATATATATATATATATATATATATATATATATATATATATATATATATATATATATATATATATATATATATATATATATATATATATATATATATATATATATATATATACAAAATACATAAACATACACATATAAATATTTTATTGTATTATATGTGGCTGTAATAATCACTTACCATCAGACGGACGTATATTTATTTGCTAAACTTACCTTTAAGAGAGTATTGTCTGTTACTGTTGTAAAAAAGAAATTAAAAATCCACACAAGAGCGACTGCGAAAAATCTCGTGGTAAGAACATGTCGGTCAAAATGTGAAAACGATTTTCTGAAATTAAACTTATTTTCAATTTGTTATTATAAATATTTTTAACTTCATTTTTGATTCTTTTTGAATGAATGATAATGAAATGTAAAAATGTAGTTATGTACTTTATGAAATATTTATTAATGTGATTGCTGTGCCCTTCCAGGGTTCATGTTAATTCTTTACTTTTAATAACTTAAGACCTATATTGTTACAACATGAAATAGCAATAAATTATTGAATTGAATTGAATGATAATCCTGCTTACGCTATCGGTATACACTGGCGGGGTATCAGTGAGAGATGATTGGTGGGATGAAAAAGTAGGTTCGTTAGGCCATCGTGACGAATTCAACGATAAATTAATCGCAATGGTTTCCAGAGGGAACCACGTGGAGGTCGACCCGATAGGATATATTGATAGTAATGGGGACCAACCGCCCCACTAACAATAGAAGACTAACAATCCCTTCCCTCTTGTCATTGTTACTTCAACTTATTCATCGTCCACTTCTGAATATTGGTCTCTCTCATATATCGCCACAAAACGAGTCTCCCATCCGAGAAATAGGTATTGGCAACCCGCACTCATGCTAAAGGTAAAGGAGTTAAGGGGCCGCCTGAAAATCAGCGCTATATAGGTACATCTCGCTGGAGCTGTACATATATAGCAACAGCTGAGGCGGCTCCTATTACCAGCAATATTAATTGTTTTTTTTCTCTTTTTGTTGTTTTAATTTTTTATTTTCTTAATACTGGTAATAAAGGTTATCTACCTATCTATCAAATGCACGAAGCCATCTACATCCGTCAGTTCAGAACGTGACAGAATACTACTACATGTGAATATCCGTAAAGAATTAAAGGCAAAAAGATTTGCAAACTGAAGTAGCGAAAGGGTCTACCATATAACTCACCATATCTCTATAAATCCCCACTCAGCAGTTATCTATAGATAGATAGCGTAATCGATGGCAGCACAGAAAACGATGGCGTGATCACATAAACTCTTGGAAGTAAAGGAGGGATCTTTGCCTAGTAGCAGGATACGGGTTAATTATAGATAGGTAAACGAACGATTTGATTATTTTGTTTTGACCAATCGATAACCAATCAGAATAAAAATTTATCACGTAGTATAAGCGATGTTATACAAACATTATGAATATGATGATAAATTAAAAAATATTTAACCGATTTTAAAAAAATTTCACCTGTAGAAAGTTGCATTATCAACAAATACCACGGACTATATTTTAAAACAAAAACTGCACAAAGCCGGGATCTGTGGCTAGTGTGATATAAAAAAAGAATATATGATCGATGAATCCAAATATATTTGATTTGCCCCAAGCAAATTGGCATTCAAGCATAAGAACTACGTTCTTTTTATTTAGAAACCCTAGAAACGAAATATAATTTAGATATTTTACTTTGTCTGATTCTAGTACTTCCATTGTATCTGAGTAGTTCTTCGTCGGACATTATTTATATAAAATATATATGTATAATATGTATGTTATTTATAAATTACTGTTTTATTTTAATATTATTATTCTATATATTTGCTCATTACGTTGCATCATTAATTATATTATCTGTTATTCCTGTCTACAGTCTTTTGGTAAATAACGCTATATGGTATTAAAATTTAATCAATAAATAAATATTTCAGCGATCATAAATAACTGGCTAAGGACCATTCCTTGTGGTAGTATGTGATAAAAGCGTATATTTGGCAGTGGACAATGAATTGCTGAAATGATATAATACTGATAAAAATAATAAATGTCGTAAATTTATAAGCTTATTGGATTAACTCTAACCCCAATATATAATAATCAATGGTGCAGGTAACTTGAAACTTAAATGAGAAAAAGTTTCAAACTACTAAACTAATTCCAGCTTCACGAACTACATTGTCATAATATGAGAAACCAGGCAACTGTATATTTGATAACGACAAATGCCAACCAAACCCTCTCCACTAAGCTAGGGGAAGGGAAATGTAAGTAATAGAGTCTAATAAAATCAAGTTGATGTCCATGTGGCTTTCCCCTGAAAACCATGATTAATACCTAATTAATTTCTAATTACAATAATTAATTACGATGGGCTAATTTGTGTAACTTTATCTCCACCTTTTCACTGGTACTTCGCTAGCAATTACCAATAGTTATCGATACTAATAATGTAAAATCATCATCATATCAGGCCTTAATTGTCCACTGCTGAACATAAGCCTCCCTCTTGGAAGATTTTGCCAGTAGTTGCCACGCTTGATAGGCGGATTGGCAACCACAGCTAGGCTTTAGAAATGTTTTAGAACGGATACTTCTGCCCATACCCCGCCGTTCCTTAATCATCTTTGACGACACCCACGGGAAAGGAAGGGGTGGCTTATTCTATGCCAGGACCACACGGCATCGTATAAAATATAGTTACATTTTTTCACACGAGTTTTAAGATCCTTTTAGGTTATATCTAGCTATATATTAAACTGGAAATCAGTCAAACAATATTATTATTTAGCATTATCCACATTAAAAAAAAAATTCAAAAAGTCTGTCCCATAGAAACGAAATTGTCCCCTCCGTTTCTACCTTTTATTTATGTACCTCCTAATGTTCATGATATATAATGTATTATTTTGTCCTGAACAAGAGAATAAGTAATAATATGTTCAATATACTTACTGGTAATTAATGTGAGCAGATGTTATATTAAGATTAGTAAGTTGTTTTTCTCTACACCGTATTATGATATCCTTAGATGTCACACAGCTGACGTTAGTACCAAAAGTTCTTTGGCATTTAGACCATGATGGCACACTTTGTAAACTTGTGACGAGCAAACGAACCGAGTCGGCCAAATCACTTGCATGCTGAATAAGCAATCGAGATTACAGATTTATTTTGCAATTACAGCGAGCATACTCCGTACTTCATATTAGCCTAAGATCCCGCCACTGAATTTTGCAACTTTTTAATGATATTTGGTTTGGTTTAAATTAAAAAGGGACGGAAACGTAATAAAATGTACTTGGGTTGCCTGTTCCCAGTTAGCCGTAACCAAGTTGTCAGTGGCAACCGTTACCTGCGCCCATTGTTTTTTTGACAACACTATGTTGCCGAAAATTAACCAAATTTACCAAAATTCTTACCTATTTTTACCTGCCAACCCTAGGTTGTGGCTAACATACAGCAGACAACCCGGGTGCATTGTATTACATTTTCGCTCATCTTTCATTTAAACCAAGTCTCATTAAAAATTTTATTACATGCAGCAGCGAGATCTTAAGCTATATAAGCTGCTAGTTACACGGAAATCAGCCGTATGACACGTTAGGTAATATGGCCGTTATCTGCATAACTAGCTACAAAACATCTTGTAGATATCTTATAGTGAAATTTAAATATAGAACGCAAAATCGTGTAGACATAAACAAATAGATTTTGCTCTGCAACAAACTTTTGTTTAAATAAAATATCAATATTAATATGGGACCCATTGTTTTTATAATAATTTTGTAACGATTCGATTGGTCCCATATTTTATGGGACCTTATTGATTATTACCAATAACATCATATAAACTCAATCGATTACTAAAACAACTGTAAATATCAGTTCAGAATTGGAAAGGTAAGCACGTAATATAGTCACAATAAATTCAAACAAATTGAAAACCTACTTCTGTTGAATATTGCATGAAAAATATAATCTTTATCATGTAGCTAGAGAGATACTTAAACTGTAAGTACATAATAAAGAAAATGTTCAGTGGCTCGATTCCAGTAATAAAAATTGCAAAGGTATCGTAGCAACTGAGTCGTTGAAACCATTCGCATTCATCCTTGAATGACTCCAAAGTATTTCTATCATAATGTCATCGAATCGTTTTCATGTTCAATATTTAATTTAGGAGATTTTGCAAATTTATAAGATAAACTTAATATTTAAAACAAACTTTGGATAGAACTTCGATCCAACGTCTTCCATACTTCTATATTTGAATGGTTTGTTTTTATAGAATTAATTGTACCACATTTCATTTAAAAACTTAGCATTCGCCATTTAGATTATATAATCATCCTGATCCTATATTAGCAAATATTAGAAAAACAAATTTTGAAAGTTCCCTACTTATTCATATCTAGGCATCTAATTGGATTTGGGTATTTAATAGAAGTAGCTACATCCTAATTTTTATATAGTCACTAGCGACCTGTCCTGCCGCATGGGTGATTTAGATATTTGTTTTTATAAAAATTTGTCAAGTATACTTCAAACTTAAATTGTCTAAACTTAAATTATATAACTTAAAGTATCTAAACATAATTTTGTAAAATTATTTAATTTTTAAAATAAACACCATTTTTTTGGCTTAGATATAACTTAAATATATGGTGTTCTAGACTCTTTTGTAAAACTACATGTAAGAAATAATTTAACTATTTTATTTCTGTATCTCAAACCGTTTAGGCAGTGCTCGCCATACTACAGAATCTATGCTGACTTTATTAAATTAATTTAAATATTAAAAATATATATTTACCAAAATAAAAATAACCTATAGCACTCAAGGATAATTTACAATTCAAACAGGTAAATAATTTTCAAAAACGGATCAATAGTACTGGGAATTACCCTGAACATCCAAATCCGCAAATTTACCTGTTTATTAATATAGATATGGTGAAAATTAAAAGATAACCAATTCATCACAAATGATAACCGTGACATCTAAACACGAAATTATAGTGGTCAGAACAGAAACTTAAGGGTGTATGACTCCATTATGATCGTATATTATTGCATATTTACTTTTTGAAAGTGTGTACTGTATAAAATTTAAACAGAATACACAAATTTTGTAAATATCAGTTTGAAAATTTTGATAGTTACTATACTGTAATTTCATAAAAAATTAAATAAAAAGCAATAAACCAATAGCTTAGTAACGTTGAATTGTACCTACAATTTAGTTAAATATAATTATTGATAAATTACATAACATACGAGACAATGATTCTACTAATTATTATTAAACTATTTATTGATTAATTTTACAATATGAATATAAATAATTATAAACTACAGAATATATTAAATAACTATATAATACTAATAACAATTACGATATGAATAGATACACACTAATACTTAAATAATGAATAATGATAATAAGAAAGTATGTACCTATCGTGATACACTATTTCGAAAGTGAAAAAAGTGTTGTCCTCCTCTCTCCTACTTGCTGTGCCCAACAGGGTCCATAATTGAAACCTTATGTACTAATTATATTATGGAATGCAATAATAAATAAATAAATAAATAAAAATAAATAAATGATTCATAAAGAAAAAAAAAACTAATCAAGCGTGAGTTATACTCATTCATCGAAGATTTCTTACGTAAAATAGTTTCTAAAAAGATTTATCTTTACTTTGAATAAAAATATTATTTGAATACGATATTATATTATGTATACATTGTACGTCCGCCGTTGCTTCAAAATACATACAATTTTATACAACAAGTAAAATAAAACTAAATTATTCACTACGATATGAACTTGACTTCAAAACTCGTAATACGAGTATAATAGTAAAAAAATCTGTTTTAAAATGTACAAATGAGGCCTTTTCATATCATACCCCACTTAGAGTAATAGGATTTTGACATTTTGACTATCCGTTTTGGATTTCTTAACAAAGAATTTAAATAATATTTACGGGCTAATTATATGTAAAACTATTCCAAATTTCAAATCTAAAGCATCAGTAGTTGCTAAGATACAACGCTGTGACGAACGACTGACAGACGGGCAAAATCGCACCATAAGGGTTCCTTTGTACCTTTTTGATACCGAATCCTAAAAATAAATTGGATGACATCTCATAACATTTAATATTGAAATCATTATAATTATGACTAAACATTATTTTTTTTTCGCAAATATTTTCCAGCATTAGTTAGATACATTATACCTTCCTTGATTAAATTGTGAACATACAAATATTAATTTGTTGTCACGATTATAATAAATTTAATAAACGTTAAAATAAATATATTGTTTCGTTATCATTATAACTTCCGGGTTACCCAACTAGGATTTATTGCAAATATGAAGTATGGGAAACCATATGAAATCTCTCGGGGCACATATTTATGTTATATCCATTTCCCCTGCCTCCCATTGGAATAGGTAGAAACAAAAGGACGTCAAGTACTCCAATTCAAACAGGCTGCCTTCGCATTCCCAACATTCATCAATCTATTCATTCGAACTTGCAGGTTCCGGTATCGGTATTTTCATTTGGTCCATTTTCATCTCATCACGTATTTGGTTGACGTAAGTTTATTATATAGGATGCCTCTGTCGGCATATCCACATAACCTTGCTTAATAATCTCTTTGGTAATTCTTCCCTTAAACCTTTGTATCCAAACTTATATTATATTCTTAATTAACGACGTTAATGGTGTAGCGATTTAATACATTATTTTACGAACCAGTAATAATTTTGTACAGGGATCAAACCCGTGATTGGGTTTGAACCCTGTACAATTTTTTTTTTTATCAATAAGAATGTATATTTGTATTGACATGTGTTTTCTATGGATATTATAAAGTTTTTTTGATAGTACAACTAAATGATTGATGGACCCTGCTTAGTCTGAGTCAGATAGCGTGTGTATTTGTCTCATTAGTGTTTAATATGATCATGCTATAACTTAGTCATTTATATTATTATCGTCAGACACTATTCGTTCACTACTGAACATAGATCTCCACCATGGACTGCCATAAAAAGCAATCCTGAGCCACCTGAATCTACTGACTCCCTGCAATACATATAATGCTTTCATATATGAATATATGAATTATGCTATACTATATGAATTAATTATATGAAAAAAAAATATAAATTATCGTTTTTTTATTTTTTGACCTAACCGAAATTTGTAAACCGCAAAGCAACATGCTTATTCTACCTGTGCTGTGAAGGTCAACCATCAACTTATAGGGAGGAGAGTTTGGAATACTAATTGTACAAGTTCGATTAGCTCTTGACCTTTTTTTATTGAGGATATTACGTAGGAGTTACACGAGCCAGATAATTCGATGGGTAGAGAAAAGGAAAGATATTATTTTCATTACAGTAATTTTATTATTGTTTTATTTGCTGACGGCGCACTCAATACATCCTTTACACTACAAACTTACCTCTGAGAGTGAAAGCTAGATTCAAGTAATACTTTGTATTGAATACAACTGTCAATAAAAGTTTTATATCGCTGGTACCCTTGAAGTTTATTCATTTGAAAATATATAATAAAAATGCATTTAAATAAAAATTGAGCATACGTTGGTAACTATTTCAGTTTTATATGATTAAAGGGACAAACATATTGCTCGTCTGATGATAAGCGTTTACTATATCTTTATACGATTTTTTTTTAAAATATCATGCTATAATTAGGTGGCCCTAAAAAATCTGCTTAATAAAGAGTCCCATAACTTAAAATGAACACCCATGAAAGGAAGCCCTGTACGTACCCATCTGCGTTCAGAGGTCTTAGGGGTGATGGAGACGAATTCCATGCAAACAGTGAAAGAATTAATTTAATGGTGTTTTCAATTTTTTCGTTAATCAAACACCGAAACCTTAATAAGCCAGCAAAAACAAACTGGGGAAAGAGGAGCAATTTAAATCCAATCAGCAACCCCAAAACTGCATGAAAATTTAATTACAAATTTTGAAGCGGAAAAACATAGGCTCGATATTGTATAATTTAAGATTTTACTGAACAATTAAATGTCATAAACAAACAATCCAATGAAATTCATTATTATCATCATCATATCAGCCGTTAACTACTAGGTTATGTTAGTTATTTATACTTATACTTACTATTAAAGTCCAGAGACCAGATTGCAATAGTATTCCATACGTTATTCCTTTGAGCATTGGGTTCAATGATTTATTAAAATCTAATTTCCTTGTATACTGCTTAATAAAAACATCCATACACATATATGTCATGCCGATCGTTAATTCAAAAATTATAAAATCATATATTCTTACTGAAACAAATGTTTTTATTTTTTATAATAAAAGCATAGAGTTGGCACAAACTTGAATAGAACTTTATAAGAAGTAAGCGAGGGAATCCCAATCAATTAGATATTTACAAAACGGCCTTTTTAAATTGATATCTTTCTATTAAGAAATGGCTGAATGGTTGTCAAAGAAATACCTTAATCGAATAGGCATAACCGTAAAAATATTATTCTTACGGTAGAACTAAAAAACTAGTGTATGTTTTATCATTATAGTTCAATCGTATCGTAAATCATAATTTGACCTCTTTATGAGTTATTCACATGTGTAAAGATTTTTGTAAGTTGGTTGCAAAAAACCTATTAATATTATAAATGCAAAAGCTTGTAATGTAGATAGATGGATGTTTGTTACTTTCTCACGCAGAAACAACTACACAGATTTGAATATTTTTTTTGTATATAGGTAGGTTATTTCCTAACTTAGATACATGATGCACTGATTCACTCGAACGAAGTTGCCAGATATAACTAATATTCAATATGCATGTTTACGAAAAAATATTCTAGATGATGCAGTAACAAAATTGGTACACAGGCGAAGTCGCACACAAGCGAGTAAGGTACAAAGTACTAAATTTTTTTGCTTCACAAGTTGTCAAGTAATAAATGTTATAGATAAATAAATAAGTAATAAATATTAATTAATTAATAGGAGACTTTGTACAAAAGTCGATTGCTTGGGCACCTCTGTCCCATTCGTGTTTCAACCGTGAAGCAGTTGTGTTTGCATGACTGTGTTTCGGTTTGAAGGGTGGGATATGGCGTGAATTTACAGGGTACAGAGGAATAACACCTGAGTCCTCAGGAATGGCAACGCATGGGGGGTATCATGGGTGAAACAGTATAGTCTGCTATGTCCATGGTACTGCTCATGTCTATAGGCGACGGTTACCACTTTCCATCAGGTGGGCCGTCAGCTTGTTTGTCATTCTAAGTTGCATAAAAAAAAAAAAAAAAAAAAAAAAAAAAAAAAAAAAAAAAAACATTATATGAAATTATAAATAATAAATATATTAAAACACAAAATAATAAATTACTTAAATAAATATTATTATTCCAATTATATCTTGTGATTTTAACTTTGTGTTTTTGTCACATAATAAATTGCCATTCGATATTTATTTCTTATTGAATAAAATGTTAAATTAATTAAGATATATAATTATCAATTAAAAATGTTCATACCGTTTTCAACTACCTTTGAAAATAAATCAAAGTTTGAACTTGAAGCAGAAAACGTAAATGCCAGATATATAAATTTCTTTATGCTTGCCCACTTAAAGTGATCTTTGCTAAAATCCTGGAAGAACATCAAATAAATTATTCAGTATCATTTCATAGTGGTTACTTCAGTACTCGGGTGTTTTTACATAAATATACTGATAAAATCTGAATTGAAAAAAGCCCCTTATAGAGATAAAATATACAGACAGGCTTTACCTTCATAATATACATTACATACTACAAATAAGGTACCAGATTCGATGCTCTGTCTTATTTTGAGAAACGAACGTTTTCAATTAGTTTGCTTTTGAGTTTTTTAGATAAAAGCACTATTTTAATTTTACCATTAATTCCTGTAAAAATCTTAAATATCCTACTTTTTTAATCTAGGTAATTGATATAATTTTATTAAGCTTCTTGTTTAATACATAATATTTAACCAATCGCAGCACTAGCATTTTATATAAGGTATAAAATTTTAAAACAACCTCAAAAAGTATGATCTACTTAATTCATATATTTTTTTTTTTATACATAACTATTTTACCATTTTAGTTTGGTTTTGAGTTGATATATAGACATTTCATTTAATTAATTTTATTTTTTAAGGTGATGTTATCGTAATATTGGGGCACTATACAGGCAATAGATTGAAATTCGGCAAAGCAGTTAAGAAAGCAAGAATTAATGGCACAAAGGTATTTTAGCAGATATCTGATATCTTCACTTAAACAAATTTTAATTTAATTTTGCATTCAATAAATAAACTTGTTGATCATATATTAAATATAATACGACCAAAGTTGCTGTTTTTATTTAAAATATTTTTCTGCACTCGTTCAAAACTTGTAACGCCATCTAGTAAAAGCTTGAAAAAACTCATAAAGACTTGTAGGGTTTTTTTGCCTTACAATCGTCGACCTGATAGGGTATATTGCTAGAAATGGGGTTGTAAGATCCTCATTACTAAAAATCCTATTTCCCCCACCATGAATGTTATACCTTAATAGAATATAAATTATACTAACCATTCTATCATCCAGTAAAGACATACTAGATGTCAAATCTAATAAAGTTGTCGTTCTATAGTGTGGCATTTTTATTTATTACACTTAACTGAAAATAAAAGTAAATTGAATTTACAATAATGATTCAATTATAGTTGTTGCAAAATACATAAAACATTAATTATAATACAATTAATATATGTAAGAATATTTGATTTGGCTCCATTACTAACATTCCATTTTCCCCTCTTTTTTGCTATTGATTGTGTATAAGTATTATATATATATATATATATATATATATATATATATATATATATATATATATATATATATATATATATATATATATATATATATATAATTAAAACTTGAAATTTTTATGCTAATAAATAAAATAGCTAATAAGCCAGTTAGTCCTGGCATGTCTTTCTATACTTAGAAGTGTAGTATATACCAAAAATAATGAAAATACATTTTTTTTATATACAACTTAGAATGGCAAACAAGCTAACGGCCCACCTAATGGAAAGTGGTAACCGTCGCCTATAGACATGAGCAGTACCATGGACACAACAGAGTATACTGTTTCGTCCATGATATCCCCCATGCGTTGCCATTCCTGAGGACTCAGGTGTTATTCCTCTGTATCCAGTAAATTCACGCCATATCCCACCCTTCAAACCGAAACATAGCCATGCAAACACAGCTGCTTCACGGTTGAAACACGAATGGGACAGAGGTACCCAAGCAATCGACTTTTGTACAAAGTCTCCCTCTGGGAGGTTCTCCTGAAATCCATAGCAGTTAATTTTTGTGGAATTCATCACGATGGACTAACTGACCTGCTTTCATCCTCACTTATCATCTCTCACTGGAGTTTCGCTACGTATACCTATAGCGCAGCCGGGGTTACCATTCCATTTCATTCGTTATCAAAAGCTGTTGTAAGTAAATACTATAGCGGCCTTTATATGATAGTCTCTTCATCATATCAGTTTTTAACTGTCCACGGCTAAATATAAGCCTTCCCCATAAGGGGAGTTTTGCCAGTAGTTGCCACACTTGGCAGGCTGGTTGACTACCACAGTTAGCAATATAACTTAATGAAAACGTGACAAAGTTTAGTTGAAATTATTACTAAAATACTCTCTAAACAAAATCAGTTATGAATCAAAGCATTCAACCGATTATTCACTTTTTTTATTTGTGCAACGTTTCTTGTGGAGAATCAGAGGACTGTTTTACAGTTGGGTCAATTATTTGTTTATTTATATTTTCATTAAGCCCTATTGAAACAGAGTATGCCTAACGCAATTCAAGAGAATTTATGCTAAATATTCAAATCACCTTGCGCCCATTACATTTAACTAAACGGAAACTCAAATAAATCTATAGATACTAAAATTTCCACTGACCTGATATTTTAAATAAATTGAAGAATGATTTCTGTAGGGAATGTAATTATACAAATTTTCTCTTGTAAAATATTGCTCTCCCAATCGTTAATTACGATATTGTTTCTGTATTAGGATTACCTTTTGAAATTGTTTTACAACCATGATTTGTATGTATTGTTAAAATGCTGTGAAATGCCATGAACATATGTTACGTCACCGATAGATTGGAGACATGACTTACGTATGACAAATATTGTTTTATTGAGATATGTAATTTTATATATTAAGTATTATACTTAATCTATGTGTACTGAAATCATAGATCAAGGAGGTCCCGTATATGCCGATACTAACCTATGCCTGTAGGGGGAAAGGGATTGTTAGTAATAGGATTAGAGGCCCCGTTGCTAACAATATACCTTATCAGGTCGACCTACACGTGATTTTCCCTGGAAACCATCTTGATTGTTTTTTTTAGTTCATTACTATGGGCCAACTAACCTGCCCGCCAGTGTATACCGTTAGCGCAGGCGGGTTTACTATTCCATTATCATCCATTAAAAAAAAAACCTTTTTGTGTATCTATGCCTATACTAATTTTTTTACATTTTAATTATACATATTTTTTAACATAAAAGTTTAGAATTTTTAATAACTATTATAATTACGTAGTACAGGTAAGGCAAATACAATGGACACAGGTTTCACGCTGGACGTTAGAATCACGACTGCTCGTGATTGAGCGGTATCGTAAAGGCACGATCACAGAATTTACCCAGAAAAAAATACGTTGTATGTTGGTGCAAAAACACTACTACAACCATGCATACAAGCGAAGCTTGTATGCATAGAGCTCTCCTCGCTCATCACATACGCGCTGCATTAGAATAATTCGAAATACGCCAGCTCGCTCAAAGCCACAAATCCAAATATACGCGTTGCACGTCTATTTTAATAAAAATTGGAATGCACTTTTAATGCGTGTGTGTAAAAATAGAACAATATATCTCTTTTTAACTATTCTAAAGACCCCCACTAGGTTGTTATTTGTTTATAACGTTACAATTAAAATTTTCCTTTAAAAATCCCTTTGCGAAGATTATTTCAAATTATGATTCAACAATGAAGAGCTTCAATCTGTACTATTGTATGATTAGCCATGACATATCCATTTATTATATTAATATGTAACTCATAGTTATTTATATATGTATTATATTATATGTATTATATTGTATGTGTTATATGTATATATAGTTTTTGTAAGTGTATTATTCTATATGTATGTATGTTCATTCATCTTAAAATGTATTTCTGTTGTTATGTGTAATATTTATTTCACAATGCAAAAACTCCATGCAACCGCACGCTATAGGTTTCGCCTGACTATTCTTGTGAATTAAATAAATATTATATTATTAATATTAATATTCTTATAATGTGTGTATAAATAAAAGTAGATGTATGCTGTAGATTATTTGTTTTATATTATGTATGTATTACAAAGGTATAAGAACAATATATAAATTATACATATAAATATATATATTAGAGTATATGTATAATGTAAAAGTTATTTTATCTATGAGACCTACACGGCGAATTATAAAATATCGATTATACTATATTATTATTCAATATATGACATACTTACATCTATTAAAAACAAATCTACCTTTAAATTTAAACTACGGGTTCACTTCCTAAAAAATTTGCAACACATTTCCTTTTAATTAACTTTCTTTTTTCTCTTTATTCCTTTATTTTACTTTTTAATTGTACTTTTTGCTTCAGTCGTAGGTATTTTTCTGTCTTATTTTCTTTTATCCGCTGTTCTAATTAATCGTCATTAGAATTAAAGTTGTATATATGTATTTGTGTAAGTAAATATATGTGTATATATAGATGTATGTATGTAATATATAGTAACGATATATATACATATTTTAATAGAAAATGCATCGTCTATTTAATTTTCTACTTGCACCATGGTTGACTGGTAGGAAATGCCATTAGGTGTTAAGTCTGCCATATATACACTTACTTATATTAATTGTGCATTAAAATTTATAAAATAAATAAAAATTAATACTTAGTTCTGTTTTTATTATTCATACACGCGACCCGTTTTGTAACATTTTTATTATCAACATCATATCAGCCGTTAACTGTCCCCTGCTGAACGTAGGCCTCCCGCATGGGGTGCATTGCCAGAAATTGCCAAAATTGGTAGACGGGTTGGCAACCGCAATTAGGCTTTGATAACATTTTAAGAAGGACACTGCTCCTTTTACTACCATTAAATTCCCTTAATTGCTTCTTACAACAACCAAAAAGAAAGGAAGGGACCCATTCTATGCCACTTTTCAAATCATCTTCCGTATGTATATTTTTAAATGATCTGGAGGTAACAATACAAAAATATATATTTAACTTTAAAATGTTAAAATGCATAGCTAATAATTAATTATCCATCATAGTAATAATTAAATATGAAGTATATGTATAACTCCCGACAAGGTAATCAGAACTAGTTATAGCTGTTAAGTAAATAAACTGTCTGAAACTGTTTTAAACTGTATCTAACAGTTACTTTAACAACAACAAGTTTCTTCAACATAATCTTATACAGATTTTGTTTTACAAAACATAACAAAACATTTATGCATGTGTTAAATAAAGACTTTTTTATAATTATTTATTTTTAAATTGAGTCTTCAGGAATGGCAACGCATGAGGGGCATCATTGGCAAAACAGTATACTCTGTTATGTCTATGGTACTGCACATTTCTATAGGCGACGGTTACCACTTTCCATCAGGTGAGCCGTCAGCTTGTTTGCCATTCTAAGTAGTACAAAAAAAAATTTTTAAAACATGCAATTGAAGTGCTTAAATAGGTGTGATTATTAACGATCGGTTGTCATGGACTGAAAGTGTTCTTCAATTTGTCTAAATCGATAGTATTAAGTATTTTTATGGTAGTGTATAGTAATATTTTATTGTAATATATAGTTAAGGCAATAAATTTTGTAGATTACACCATCCATTTCCTTTTCCCATTATTTTTACATATCTACCTGCTCCATAATCCGTTACCCAAAGGTTGCCTTGCAATGATTACTCTTAGCAATAAGACTGCCTTGATGCACTCGCACCAATTTTTTATTTTGTACGATACCATTATTTTTATCCAAACTTATGGTGGTCTTAAACGTATGGTGTGCTTTCTTTCTCTCTCCGTCTTCCTAAATAAAAATCTATTTTTAATGGGATATACATATATATGTATATATTTACGGATGTATGTATGTAATATGAATTTATTATTATATTACATAGAATTTAAGTAAACTGTATAAGAGATCCCTCGTGCTAAGTTGGTTAACCTTAATGGTACCTAATTTTATTTAATACCAATGATCGAACACAATTTAATAATAGAATGACAGTAAAACTTCTATAATAAAACATTTATTATACACCTTATACTTTAAACAAATAAGAATACAATTGTAATACTTTACATTTCACTACATAATATCTAAATTTACTAATTTTGTGTCTAGGCAGTAATATTACTTCCTTAATACAAAATCAATTGTATACGGTTTAGGTGCTGATATCAGACCAATTGTAGGCTCATCTGTTGGCAGGATCCCGTTACTGCAGTCGACCTTATATTTTTGTAATATTCCCACAAACGTAATGAAAATAAACGACTTTGCCAATGAGTCACCAGGACACCGCCTTCGACCTAAAAATAAAAACAATCATCACTTAAGAATCTCCTATATTAACTGCATACAGATTCCGTATATTCTTTATTCTTCTTTAAAGAATTATCTTTTACAACAACAAGAAATAATTTTCAAACATTGATACTATTGCTTATTTCGAATACGTTGTTCTTTTTACACGGCTACCAGCACGTAAGTTTATTCATGCCACAATAACTTCTGAATGCCTGAACAGACTTAAAAAGATCGATGAAAGTGAAGGAAATGAAAGAGAAGTGCTTGAATTGAAGGATTTGGCGTTCCGGTATTTCTGCCTATCCTAATGGGAAACACGCGTGCTATATATGTATGTGTGTAGCTTTGAAATTCAGAGAATAGAACTAAGTATGGGGCGTGATTAAAATCCTTATAACATCCCAAGTAACATTACCTATTTAAATACAATCGTTTTTTAGTAGAATTTTTAATTTTCGAACTAAAATATTATTAAATATTTGTTGTGAAATGTGAGCAAATATACTTGGATTATAAATATGTGACTAAAGATCGCTTTAGCACAACTTTAGTATTTGCAGTTTCCTTATGTCTTATTCCGATAGATCGTTCACGGTAGATGTAAAGTCGGTTTAATATCGTGTTTTGGTTAACCTCACGTGTCGGTTACACTGTAGCTGTGAATAGTACATATAGTCTTTCACGCTTAGCTTTGTATGAGTGGCATCGCCTTTCATTAATCTTGACACAACTTGCGCAGCTACTCGATACAGAGAAACTAATACTCTCGCCTTATGTGATAGTTACTGAAACATTATTGTTCGGTGTTACGGTTAGATTAGGAGTTTATCAGTTTCGAGTTATATTGAACCTTTTTAGTTGTAATTATTGTCATAAGTAATCTTTGTACAGATTTGTAAAATTGTCAGTTATAAGATTCATTAAATAGTTTCTTTTCATTGTTAATGTAAGGAACTTCATGACACGACTTAATATGAGGTACGAATCGCATGTACTGATGTAATTAAATGAGATGTAATAATTCCACTATAATAACAAATTTTTAAAACTGACTCCAGAAATCAATAGGTAAAATAAAATATTTGCATTCACAATACATTTCATTTCCCGCAATACTTTCCATTCTGATTGAACAAAAATTTGCTTCGTACAACTTTATATTTATTTTTCTAAGAATATTTTTTTTTTTACCGACAATGTAATTTTAATATCATCATGAATAATATTATTCAATACAAATAGATGTGATCCAATATTATGCATAAGATGTTTGTTTTCTTTATTTAAAAAATTCGACAATTAAATCTTGAAATGTGAACTATCTTTTGATGCTTATTTATATAAATTACATAATTGTAAACAATAATAATATAATTAACATTTGCAAATTGAAATTCAGCTCAATTCATCGAGTAATTTGGCCTCTGCATTATAAATTGACCAATAACGTTCAATATTAATATAAGTACAAATTAATATTGGTTAACGTACATCCTATTTAATTATAAATGCGCAAGTTTATAAGAATGGATGAATAGATAGACTAATGGATAGATAGATGGATGTATGTACACTTTTACGCAGAAATAATTAATGGATTTGAATGAAATTTAGTATACAGGTTATATCCTTACTTAGCACATTCAATACTTTATGTACTGATTCACTAGAGTAAAACCGTAGAATACAGCTAGTCCTTAATACTTAATAAAAATACAAGAAATAATAACGCACACTTGCTAACTAACCTAAACCGAAGGGATACATATGATTTGAATTTTTCAAGATTCCCCTCTCGTCGATAAATCTCTCCGGCTGAAATGCTCGCGGATTATCCCATATTTCCGGATCGAAGTGTAAATCGCCAACCGATATAAGCACAGTTGTCTCCTTCGGTATCAAATAACCATCTATCATGGTGTCATCTAGGACCCTCCTAGGTCCCGCTAAAGGCACTATGGTGTAATATCTTTGTACCTCCAACAAAAATGCCGATGTATATGTGAGCCTGAAAATTTTCAAGTGCAGGTATGACTCCAGTTATAACTTTAGTATGTACTGGATCGATTTTCATGGAATTTTGAAGAGACATAACCTTAATCCCAAGGCCCTCTTTGGGACGCAAGGGTTGAAAGATGAAGTAATTACAGGTTATCATGCGACAAAGTTGTGACTGTCGTTTAGGATTATATCGACGCTGGAAAGATAAAATGCATTAAGTGCCATTTAGTGAATTTTACCGGAGAACAATAAAAAACGAAACAAAAACGCAAAATGAATTATTACATATTCATATTTTTCACTTAACCAAAATTTATGGAGTGAAAATGTAAAAAATCTCTGTGGTTGGCTGTTTTGTGACTAAGCTAAATAGCAATGAACTTGCTATTATTAATTTATTAAAATTATTCGACGCATAAAGAAAAAATTAAAAAGTAATTAAGGTAAGATTTTATTCCATAAAGAAAATACCGACTTCAATCGTGGCTTAACTAGTTATTTTGATTTAAAAATTAAGCTTTTATTATTTTTTATTTAAAATCGATAAAAAAGTATATCCATTCAGATAAAAAAAAAATCAGTTTATAAATGACAAACATAAAAAATATACAATAGAATTTCAGAATCACTTTCATATAGTATATTAAGGAAACGGAAAAAAAGAAATCGAAATTGTTAGTGGTAAGGAAAACTAAGAACGCATCCATACTATATAATTTATTAAGACAGACATGTCTTAAATAAAAACTTAACAACTGAATACGCCTTGGTAATATGCGAAACTCTTAATATTTTTATATATATGTTCATAATATTTAAAAAAAAAATGTTAAGGTTTGCTGGTAGAACACTCCATTCAAAAGATGCCAACTCAGTATTACTCAGTATCGGTCACAGTGGCACTTATTACATTTTGCTTTTCCAGCGTCAGTATTATCCCAGAAATCATTATATGTATGTGTACCGTATATTACCCTAGTTCACGAACTTCGCTTATTGTGCATTACCGCGAAGTGCTCAACTCGGACGTTGCTACTGTTACTACATTTTAAATTAAAATACATATTTTCCATTCACCAAACTATAATAAAACTAAATGTATGCAGTGTGCTTTAAAAATTCCACAATTCATTTTAGCTTTTAGCGAATGCAATGGCCGCGGTGTAGTCTACTATTCTGAAATGAAATTTGACAGATCGGTGCTAAATCGGCTTTTAGTTTCATGGTCGTTAAAACCGCTTTTATCTTTTTCCTGTCATATTATCTCACTACTATAATAGAACTATAGCCAGACAGTATCTATTATAAATTAAAGAAATAATATATTTAAGAAAATTAATGACGAAATTAATGAGATCAATTAAAACCAAAAAAGCACTTTTTAGAAATTTGGTCTGTTTGTTTGTTCCGAGATCATGTACAAACTACTATATCAAATTAAATGCGGTATTCGTAATTGTACTTTTAGAAGTTTAATTTAAATTCTGGTATATGCATTATTACGATATATATATATAAATGATTTTTATTATGATTACTCTTTCTTCACTTCAAAACTATTATATATACAAACATTATATATATTATTAATCTAATTTTATAACTTCAAAGTGATGCAGTATAATTTTTTTACCTGGAACTGTCAGTCCAGCATGGTTCTTTATTTCCCAGTACATGTATAATCTCGTCATATATTTTCTGTTGAATCACTTGATTCCTTAGGACAGTAAGTAACGCGAATTCTAGTACATTACTTGTTGTTTGTGAGCCTGCAATAAGTAGGTCGAGGCAAATCGTTTTCAATTGTTCCTCTGAAATGAAAAAAAATGTTAATTGAGGCTTTATACTAAAATATACCGTAAAATTAACCAAGAAAATGTTGCAATTTATTGATGTACTCTAAAATCCATATGTTATATTATTTTTATTTGATTATAACCAGTTCTTATTGAACAGATTTAATTGAAAACTTTCAAAAATTTGAATAAAAATTGTACTGTACCCTAAAATGAAAATACTGTGTTACTGTTTCTTTTTTTTCTATATATTTTGTATCATTATGCCGTATAGGGAAGAGCACGGCTTATCCTAAAGTACAGGATTTACCTATTTAGGGAGCACAGGTATCACCTATGTTTAAAGATGTTTATATCATTTACTTTGAAATAAACTGTTATCATTATTATTATATATTCTATTTGTATAATATATATTATTCCATTTACAAAATAACTAAAAATAAGTATAAAGCGTAAAATCTTTACTAATATTATAAATTTAAAAGGGATTTTGTTTATTTGTTACCTCTTAGCACATAAAAGGCTTATCCATTCACTATGAAAATTGGTAAAGACGTACTTTATGGGCTGGAAAAGGACATAGGCTATTTTTTATTCGGGTCAGTGAACATAACCCGGTCACGTGGTCGAAGTCGCAAGTCAAAGCTAGTTCGCTATTTTCTCATCTTAATATATAAAATTCAGATCACCGTGTTCATATAGGTGTTACCACTACAGCGCTGTATACTCGTATACATGTATGTATGATGCGGTCAATCCGTGAGCCGTTCCTAGCATACGTAACCCCTTAATAAGTTAGACATACACATAGATTAAAGATAGTAGTACATGACATACATAATTCAAAGTTATGACATAAACAAACGAGTTTCCTACCTGTGTATGTTTGTTTATTTTTATTTATCTCCTCTAGAAATGAGTATATGAAGTCATTACCCTCCACTGCATTACATTTATGTTTCTTTATTGCTTCCTGTAAATGAAAACTACATGTGAGTATAAAGGTAAGCAATTATAATACACGACATATCTTACACTCACACACACACGATTAGAAATCTATATAATACTAGCCGCTTGCCCCGACTCCGCACGGGTGTACTAATGAAGAAAATGAGTTGAGATCTTCCCGTTTGTTGATTTGCTCAAAATTTTCACTTTTCCACACGATCTTTCAAACATTTTCTATCATTCATAAGTTGTTCTGACAATTACATATACAACAAAAAATAATTTACAAATCAGGTGTAGCTATTTCAGAAGTGTTGCATTTAGATACATGCATTCAATAATTGATTTTTATTTATATAGATTCAATTTGCACGTGAATATTCAAATAAACATCTGTTTGTAGAATTTTATTTATTTAAAACTTTCAAATTTATTTCGTTCAGGAAAAAATAGTTTATAAACTGTCTAATTTTCAACTATAAATAATAAAAAATAATTCATTAATAAAAAAGAAAAGAAATCTTTTCCTATGTATGTAACAAATTTACATATCAATACATGATATTGATATAATTTGGATCACAAACAAATACATCTATAATATTATAAAAAGATCAGCTGTGATATATATATATATATATATATATATATATATATATATGTTTTGACATATACCATATGTCATAACTTTATAAATGAAATATCATTGTTATAAAAAATTTACCCACCGCGGCTTTGAGTGAATTGTAATTTATCTATAATCGATAAATCAATAAAATGTTTTTTTATTTATACGTTAGGCTAAATAGTCTAGCGAGATTAATAGTTTCGAGTGTCACTTATGTACTGACATACAATACTAAAATTGTCCACTGTTAAATATAGACTGTTCTAATAGGCAACTACAAGGCCAGAATTACTTCCGTCAAATTACCCTGTAAGTGCCTGTATCAAGTTTTACCATAACGAATATTTCCTTGTATTGATTTATTATAATCTAATCATATCCAAAATTCACTGTGTGGATGGCATAGAATAGATCACACCTTGCCCTTTCGCGGGTGTCAATAAAGGCCACTAAGAGAATTTTATGGTTGAGAGATGGGCAGCAGCATCCCTCTAAAACATTAAAGCCTAACTGCAGTTCAAAACTCTCAAATAGAGGGAGGCCTATGTTCAGCAATGAACAAATAATGGATAATATGATGATGATGATGATGATGATAAAGCCAAACTTAAATTTTACCTCGATAATATCAGATATTTGTTGATTCAACTTGTTGATAAGGGAATAACCACTAAGATTGGGGAAAAAGAACCGGCACCACGGTATCAACATTAGCCAGCTACCGGCCATGGAGAACGCTTTAGATCTCGCATTAAATAAATCCAACATAGTTTTCAAACGATCTTCCCTTATTGTTTCACCTGTAAAAAAATTTAGTAACCACAAAAAAATAAATGTCAGCCTTGCCTGTTACCATTAAGAGCGTTCATACCAAAGTATGACAACGTCACAATTATCAGTAAATTTTCAAAACTGTTTAAAAAAGTGCTTCACCTACGAACTGAAACATTAATAATACAATAATATATTTATTAAGCACTCACTGATAATTTACATTTTGATAGCAAAAAAGCATTTGAATAATATATGGAGTAGGTGCAAAGTTTTCAGTGATAGATTCATATGCAGTGTATTCTGTAATTAACGTTTTAGTTCGTAGGTGGAGCTCACTTTGAAAATAATTAATCAGAAACATTGAATATTCATCAATTGTTTTTGAAAATTGAACACAAATTTATGCAAATAAATGTAACGTTATCATTATGAACACTCTTAATAATAATAATTTCTAATACTTATTTTCCATTACTTATTAAAACCATTATACACAGAAAAAATATTTATCTAATTCGAAATTAGGTATTAGGCAAACCATTTTAATAGACCACTTGTACATGTTATATCAAGATGTATGTTTTATACACCAGATTTTAACTTACACTTCTAGAAACGAAATTTTGAAAACTCTATTCAATTTGGTACTAACATTTTTGCGTGATGCCGAAACAAATATACCTACCTACAGACAAACTGACAAACAAAAAATATTATTTTTCAAAGATGCTTGGAAATGTGAGCATTATTTTGACAATCTTCTTAGAGATAAATCAAAATTGCCGTACTGGCCAGATACAAGCGGGCAGCGGCCGGCAAAAGTTGTATGAAAATCCAGATCTGTCGTGTTTTGCGACCAGATAAATTACTATGTAGACTCATATCTGTCCTGTAATTTAAAAATGGAATGACCTTTTACTTCGAAACATGGCTACCAAGGAGGTGACTAATAAAAGGTTTTATTTGAATTTCGAACTGGCTTACAAATAGAAAGCTGTTTATTGAAAAAAAAACAAAGGAACATTATGGCGCATGAAAAATTATTATTGTTCGTTATTCGTCATTGAACTTAAAAAGTAAAATTGTGTTTTTGATTTCCGCGCATTGTTTGAGAAAAGTACTATACAAGCCTTGGCCACAACTAGGCATTGATGGACTCACGTATGTGTGCCTCGGCTACGCCTCGACCCACATTTGCACGTTCGTCCATCAATGCCTCAGTTGCTGGTCACTGCAGTAATGTATTATTTCTATTCTATTGCTTTTATTAAAACTCCTCAAGTATTGTACACAAAAAAATACATACATATAATTTATATTAAATAAAGATAATAAAACAGGCGAGCTTAACTCTGTAAGAATTCTCTTCCAGCAAACCCTGAGTGGAAAGGAGTATTAATTACGAACGGGCAGTGTGTGTACAATAACAGGAGTAAACACTATAGTTGTTTCTATTAAGAAATAATAAATATGTCATATTATATATTATATTAGTAAATAATAAGATATACAAATAAATAACATATGAAATGAAAATCTTTCATTCCATATTGCAAAAAAATACATAAAAGTGTTTAGATATTACGGAAATATTCCATGTCAAGGGTTACGTAAGTCACAGATAATTATTTCGGTATCTTAAACAGCGGAGGCGATGCAGTATGGTACGCTGCTTTATGTAAATGTGGTCCCGGGTATTCGATTCCCGATTAAATTAATTTGAGAAATGGACTTTTTTTGAATTGGCCGCTTTTGAATGTTGTAGGTCGTGCCCTCAGATATTCACTGCCTAGTTGATCATAACACAGGGTGTACCTTGATGACCAGACGATTGGTATGATTGTCTGGTACTTATAACGATAATAAATACACTATACTGGTATCTACATATATTATTTCATTTAAAATATTTTAAGAGATCATAAACTGTATTGATAGTGATCGTACCTTAATTTACTACTTATAAAGTCTATTCAATACGAACAAAAATATTGTAATACAAACTATTTCATAATTGTAAAATACATTTTTGTTGTTCTTTTGTTTTCTTGGAATGTGTATTTTGTCTTTCTTGTTAAATCACAATACATGCACGTCTATATACGGCATTTTCATTTTTATCTGATTTTATTCTTCTGGTTCAATGTTCCTGCCAAAGGCCATAACAAAACCAGCGACCAGCAAGAAGCTGTACAAAATCTAAGTTCGATTTTTGATTAAATAGATTTAATAAACTTTTCTAAATCATGTCTGGTTAGTTCTGTCACCAGATGTTAATTGTCTGCTTTTTTTATAATACAGAGTAACCTAGCAGAGAAACAAAAGCGGGTATGCTCGTCTGACACCTATTATTTTTTTCTCAAGAAACAACTTCTTAAAGGTTAAAGGTGTTATAAAAGTAAGTAAACATATTTTGTTAGAATAACAAAATATATTTAATTGTGACTTTTCACAATGACTGAATAATATTATTTTGTTAAATAACTACCTTCCTGCTCCGACTTGGCATGTACGAAAATCAGATAGTAAATGAGCAGACTTTTTACAAAATAGTGATATTGATCGTCGACCTTTTTAATATGAGATACAAAATCTTTCTTCTGCTCTCTGGGGAGCAGTATCCCCACAACATTTATCATTTCAGCTTCGTATTTTAGAAATGTAGCCGTTATGATTTTGGTAAATCGCTTGACAATCTTGTATACGCATATTCCATTTATGGCTTTGTATACTACTTATAATGCATGATCCAAAGTGTGCCCTTGGTACCAGAAGTGATTTTTGTGTATTGTCAAAATTATATAATGTAACAAGTAGTTAACATTAAACAAATATATGTAAATACAGTGATTAATATTTGCATGCGGCAAAACATAATGGACATCTTGTCAACTTGACAAAGGCAACATCTCATCTACAATGTTTCTAGCAAATAAATTTCATTTCATTTACTAATAAGTATACCAGGCAATTTAGATATAACTGCAACGATCTCTTCGATGGCCTTCTAAAACGTAGCCACAGCTTCCTCGGCGTCCATAAAACGTTTTTCTTGAAGTTTTTCTTTTATTTTTCGAAATAAATATAAAAATCGCAAGGTGCGAGGTCGGGGCTATAAGGCGGACGACCCAGTAGTTCTACATCTGAGGTCGCCAAATAATCGATCGTTTGCCTGACGGTGTGCGACGAAGAATTGTCGTGGTGAAGGAGGATCCTACTACGAGGTCGTTTCTCACGCACTTTTTCCAAAACACGTGGCAAACAATTGTTACTGTACCACTCTGCAGTAACTGTTTTTCGATCCTCTAAAATAATTGTCGCGTAATGACCTGTCCTTCCAAAGAATGAGGCCACCATCTTTTTTCCCACGCTTCGACCTCTCCCCTTTTACGATATCCACGGGAGAGAAAGGGGTGGTTTATTCTATGGCGAGGCCGGACAGACGTAAGGTAAGTGTAAGCGTGAACAGTTAGAATTTGAACATATGGATCAGCCATTCATTTAGATTCTAACTGTTCACATGCTTGCGATTTTAAAAAAGATTCCATTCTTTTTTTAAATTTAATAATATAATTACTTTTTTAAGTAATTTTGGATAAGTCCAAAAAACCATTGGACACCCGCAATAATATTGAAAATAGTAGTGGCTTGCTATCTTGTTTGTGATATTCTAATGCTGATAGTAAAATAATGCAAATTCAATAGTCTAAAGATAAACTAGATATATTTTTTTGTACTTATATCTTAAAAATATCCTTAATTATATTTTTATCAGAAGTTTCATAACCTTCCATATTAGCCGTCAAAGTCCGACTGTCATTTCTTTCACGCACGTTTTGTGACACGTGTATCACTTTTAAACGAAGCGTTTTTAGGCAAATTATTAGATTGTCGCTCGGAACCTAGTGTCAATCATTTGACGCCTAAACTGGAGTTTGCCTATCGTAGTTTATCATAATGCCACACATACATACTCGTACACTAAATGTAGCGAAATTAAACAAAATACTCTAATCAAATAACCATTTATTGGAAAAGTTTCTAAGGTGCATTTATTACTTTTTTACTCTATTTCTCGTTTATATACCAGGTATCTTGCAGTTCTTATTGTAAGAAAATTTTAAATTGCATTTTAAACGTTATACAGTCCCTAAGGTGTTCCTTATACGGAGAAATAAGTGCCGGGCTTAATTAATTAACAGTTAAAAAATAGGGACTGCCCACTCTAGGTAATAAAATATTTAAAAAGTAAGTACGTACTTCCTTTTGCCATAGAATATTCCTTCGTATTTTGCTAAATAAAATATTAAAAGATAAGTCGGTGATATTCTAAAACTTAATATTACATTTGTTATTTATTATAACACCATATAATGCTAAGCTCTTATATTTTTTTTTATTGGATGAAAATGGAATGGTAACTCCGCCTGCGCTAACGGGATACGCTGGCGGGGTACCAGTGAATGGTGACCGATGAGGATGAAGACAGGTCAGTTAGCCCATCATGATGAATTCATCTGGAATTAATCATGATAGTTTCCAGGGGGAACCGCGAGGAGGTCGACCTGGTTGGGTATATTGCTAGCAATGGGATTCTCAGTCTCCATTACTAACAATCCCTTTCCCCCAAGCTCTTATATTTGACAACAACTTATGAAACTTACTTCAACAAATTGTGTTTAGGTAAATAATTTATTTTGTTTATATAAATTAATTTTCCTATCTTAAAATGTGAAGAAAAAAATGTTTATTTTTTTTATATAGTTTAACCTTTATTTATATACATATTTTTTGTAATTTCTTAAATTTTTATAAGAAATTTAATTACGTAAAGCACGGTAGTCTGACTTTCATAATATAGGATTTTCCTAGCATGAAGACTAGAGACACTTACTGTGAATCAATATGTAATGATATACATCTTGTAATTGCATCTGTATATTTTCCTGAATAAATTATTATTATTATATAAAATGATTTGAATATTCTATGCGGAAACACTCAACAAAATTAATAATGTACCTACTTTAAACTGAGACCGTCAGAGTTGAGATAGTTGTTTTGCTCGTGAAATTGACACAGGCGCTAGTTTCACAGATCTCTACAAACCCCGTGTGAGAGGTTATTTAAGGGAGATTTAGCATTCACTGAAATGAAAGTGCGATGTGTAACTGAGGAAGTGAAATGTTCTAATGACTTCGAGTTTTGGAAAATAACGAGAAGAAAATTTGTAAAGAGCTATATGAAATTATACTTTAATTTAATGGATGTTAGTACTCGCACTTTTGTAACCGATGTTGCGAAGTTTTCTAATGACTTAAGAACACGCGTTCTTATTTATGTTTATATTAATGTGAGGAATGTAGGGGAATTTAATTGTCGAGGAATGGGCAGCAGCGTCCATCTTAAAACATCACCAAGAGCCTAACTGTGGTTGCTAGCTCAGCTGCCAAGCGTAGCAACTACTCGCAAAAGCCCTCTTATAAGTGAGGCCTATGTTTAGCAGTGGACAGTTAATGGCTAATATGACAATGTCTATCTATAAGTTTGTTCATCTGTCTGATAGTATATTGTTCCGATATCACGCAAAAATCAATGTCCTAACTAGATACGATTTTCACTGATTTGTTCCTGAAAGTCGTACTTTAAATGTTATATTATATGGTGTAACCCACTTCTAAAATCCATTCAAATCTATCAAATCGTGGTACCAAAGCTGGTACTAAGGAAAGTTAGTACTCTCATCTTTTTCATAAGCAAATTAAAACAAAGATTAACTTACCGGCAACATACTTCCATAGTACATTCATAACCGCCGATGGCAGTACGTTTTTTGGATTTATAGGTTTATTATTATTTCTCTCTATGTATCCTAATATGCTGTTCATTTCGTTTTGTATTTCTTTTTCCATCAAAGTTTTACCAAAACCGACATTCCTTAAGTGTTTCACAGTAAACTGTCTGTGTTCCCGCCATACCGGTCCGTCGGTGAACGTTATACCTGGAAAAACAATTCGCGGTATGAATTTATAACAATATTCTTTGAAAGGTTGTGTTATCACCATATAGTTTGTCAATATTTGCAAAAATCAAATACCCAGTAGCGGCCATATTTGTTATTCGTTGCTATGTTACCTAATCAACATGATGCGGAGGGGGAAAGGGATTTTTTAGTAATGGAGATCTAATAGCTCCATTGCTAGTAATACCCTATCAGGTCGAAATCCATGAGGTATTCCTCTTGGAAACCATCGTAGCTTAATTCTTGTGGAGTTTGTCACGATGGGCTAACAGACCTGCTTTCACCCTCACAATAGCAATTACTGATGCCCCGCCAACATTTAGAGCAGGCGGGGTTACAATTCCATTATCATCAATAAAAAATCTTAATAAAATGTAGTCTTATTATATATACATGGATAATATCGGTCTACCCGTATAGTTGCCGCGTGACTCTGGGTGTTATAAGAGGCGACTAAGGAAGCTTTCCTTTCCAAGCAACGTCCCTCTAAAAACATCATTAAAAACATAAATGCGGTTCTCAACCTGCTTGCCAAGCGTTGCAACTACTGGCAAAACCCCGCTTATGGGGGAGGCCTATATTCAGGAGTGAGCAGTTAATGACTATTATGAATTAATGAAAATATCGGCACCGCTCCAATATGTATGTATTTAATATTATACTGAATATTGATGGCAGAAAAAAGGTCGTCACCCATTTCGACATCGCTAATATCAGTCGGATATCTATATTCATTTTGACCGGGTCTCGTTTTGATATTATATATTGAGTAACCGCCATTTAATATATTCATTATTAGACCAATATTGTAACTATAATATGTAGATATTGCTATGTATTGCCCACCATATATGTCAAAATAATAATTTTGTCTGTCTATCCGTATCTTTGTTCCGGCTTTATACAAAAATTACTACACATGATTGGATGTGTCCCTAAAAGTCTAAGTTTAAATCTGGCGTATATATCTTAATACACTGTAGCCTTTGTAATATTCTATGTACCAGATTTAGCTGTATACGCTCAAATAAAATCAACAGTATTGTCACGCAAATTTTTTGACGTTTTGCGAAACGAATTATCAGTCTGAATACCAGTGGTAGACTACCGCGCGTGTCCCGCGCGGGGGACCCTTTCAACTCTCCAATACGTAATTAATATAAATTTAAGTTTACGCACCGAAACTTTGACCAAATTTAAAATTAAACACAGATTAAAGTGAAATGTTTCAGGTATAATTTCGTGTATGTATCTCTAAAGTCTATCGATTTTGACGTTATATCAATTTTTAGAAAAAGAAAGACACTTTTTATTTATTAAATGTATACAACTTACAATTCAAATAAATTAATTTCCAAAAACACAGATTGTAGTTTAAGAAACTTATTTTAATATATATATATATTTTCAGATTTTAACTATTAACCTATCTGGGAATAACGATTCATAAATAACCTTCGAAGGGATGAAGCACCTCAAATAGTAAATGACTTTGTTACTGATTACATTGTTAAAACAGTCAAAAGGTTACTTAAAATCTGATTGACATACTAATATTTTAATATAGCTATGTCCGATACTAAATACTGTTAACAATGTGTTCTCAACTACTATCCTTGATAGGGCAGTCAGAGGTATAAATCGACTGTCGCTATTGTTCTGAGCAACTCAACACAATCACATTTCGTCGAGCCATAATCAAATGCAACATAGCAATGATGGAACCAATATCATTAGTTGGTAACTAATTAAAAAAAATACGCTCACAATTGTAATTCCTAATGAAGTTGTCAGATACATTTGTCGACTGTTGCCATTGTGGTGAATGTAAAACTTAAGAAGTACTCGTAATAAATTTATTATAATGTAATTCAATCACGCTTATGCGGCAGAAGAATTTGAATAAAACATTAAATATACATATCCCAGATTAACATGCATAATGATATATAGTTCTCGATCATGTTCTAATAATATGTATTATGTATAAATGTAACTGTAGTTGCTCGTAATGTATAATTGATGACATAAATCGGAATTAAATATGCCATTACGATAACTGATAATATAGGATATAGATTCGCCATCAGATAATTTAGTGCTGGGTCCATCTGTCTTCCAAATTTAAAAATCCTAATAATATTAGAGTAACAACCAAGCGTACTTTAAGCCACAAGTATGTTTAATAACTATATTATAATATTAGCAGTTATTCATGCAAAGAATTTACTAGCATTTTCTATAACCTAAACAATGAACAAAGAACAAGCTTAATATGCTGAATAATGAACTACATTCGTCTACAAACCATGTAGATTGCCACTGCAACTCCTATCTGAATGCAGCTGTTAAAATATTAATCTCGCAATAAGAACAATAATTTAATTATTGTTGTTAGATCTTACAAGAATGGAAAACACTTTTCATATTGTTGGAAATGTTACAAGTGAATTTAATTAATTTTATTCGCTGTTTGGAAAATTTCAATTATTCCTTTTATTAATATTCGGAAATTAATAATAACAGGAAAACTGTTAAAATTAAACAGTAAGAAAAGAGAAATACAGGATTTTAAAAGATTATTGCAATCATTTGAAGCAAAAGTAGTCTAATACTCCTTGTCATCAATGACAGTATAAATAATGAATGATGGTTTCATGACATCAATCAACAACATCAACTGGACAAAATCTCAACTAAAACAAAACTCAAATATGGCATCGCTAAATAACGCCCAACTACATAAAACAAAATTCCAATAATATAATGACATTGCATAAAAGTAATACTTGGAAATCTAAAAGTTTAATGATTTTGATATATGACTTAAACTTTATATATAAATATACATAAATATAGCACAGTACAATAATTGAAATAATTAGGAAATAATTGAAATTGATAATTTTTTTAATAATATTTTAACAGCATACAGCTGTTAAAATATTAAATCAAGAGTAAATGAACTAAAATGTGCTGCTGTTATCTATCGAAGATATTCCATTTTTTTCAAGCTACTATTTAAGTTTTTTTATACTATTGAGGTGGCAAACGAGCGTACGACTCACCTTATGGTAAGCAGTTATCGTAACCTATGAATGCCTGCTATACCAGGTGCATTACGTGCATGTTACCGACCTTGAAGAAACCTCTTTATTTCTTTTTGGAGACACTATGCTGTAGTCTCTTGGAAAAACCACAATAGTTGCTTTGAAAGTTTTCCGTTCAAAATTTATAGCCTATTTCTTAATCGCTTGCTAGCATCCGATTGTATTAAAATTTAGCTTATCTAAGTTCAGTGACAATATAACATTACGGTATCTTCGAGTTAGTCCGATAATGAAGAGGAAAGTTGGTCATAAAATTTCATAAATTACAAATGATAAATTTGTTGTGTTTGAACTCGATTGATTTATCTTGATGACGAACCCTAAAGACTATAAAAGTTTGTTTTTAAAAATGTTTTTAAACAAACGTTTTTTTTTTAACTTTTATTGGATTTATGTAAAAAAAAAATAGTTAACTGTAACGTTAATATTAATCCGCTACGGTATTCTACAATGACGAGCAATAAAGCATTTTAAGACATAAATTTTAATACAGTTGATGCCATAAAATTATATATTGTTTAATAAATAACAAATACACTTTATCCACCAAAAAAATAATTATAGCCAATGTCACCCAAGGCATCTCGTAAATCTTTTAACAATACTGCATACATTCAAATCTGTTCAATACTATATAATAAGTCTGGTAAATATATTATTGTCGTTTTGATTGAATAAGATGTGATGACACTAAGATAATATTTTTTTTATAATTGTGTAGCTTGTTATTTATAAAGAAGAGGTATTTTATCCTAATGGTGGCAATTAAATACCTTTTTAAACAACAATGCCATACAATTGAATGGAATCAATTTAGCATGATTGTCTCGAGTCTCGTATGTAGAATGACTTTGTTCATAGGCGAACTCATATATCAATTGTTACTAACATGATATTACGGTAAAATTTTTTCAACAAACTAGTCTATTTTCTGTTTACGAACTGTAATGAACCACTATAGAGTTACTGGATTCTGTAGACTGTTATCTGTAGTTCCTAACTTTTGGCTGTTGAGTGGTAGTGAACACTGTTAGCATTAATTCGACCTATATCGTGTATGCTTTAAACAATTTAGGTTAAATAGTAAAATCTTATTACGAATGACATAGTTAAACTTATTAGATAGTATTAGAGAAAATGAACAATTTATTGTTATTGTGTGTGTGTGTGTGTGTGTGTGTGTGTGTGTGTGTGTGTGTGTGTGTGTGTGTGTGTGTGTGTGTGTGTGTGTGTTTGTGTGTGTGTGTGATGTATGTGATGAATGTACATACCTATATTCTATGTAACTGTGATGCTATAAGAGGCTATTTCATTTTCGTCTATCTCTTAGAATTTACGAACAATTCTACAAGTAGCTTTTTGTAAGGTGATATATATTATTAGTTATTATTATTGTCCGTATGCAAAAACTTGAAGTTACTCCACGAACTACGGAGAGAGTTATGCGTGGAGTTCCTATGCGTGATTGAATCTGAAATGAGAATCAGCAGAAGAACCAAAGTAACCGAGATCGCTTGAAGCATAATTAAGCTGGAGTTATGGGCTGGTCACACAGTTCGAAGAATTGACAGACGACGAGGGCAAAAAGTTCTTGAATGGCGACATCATACGGAAAAACGCAGTGTAGGACGAACGCCATTAGATAGAGTGATAACCTCAAAAGCATCACAGAGTCAATAAAAACTTACATGGATAAAATATATACTAACTAGATATATAGGATTCTTATATACTTTCTCACGCGGTCAAAGTCACAGAAAACAGATGGACATAGTAACTGTTAATTTATTACCTGCTCTTTTTCCTAGACATCGTAATCTTAAAAAGAAGTTATCAGGTCTTCCTTCGAACTCCGTTTCAGTAAATACATGACGTATATTACTGTCTCCATAAACAACTATTACTAAGTCTCTTCCTAATTTCAATCCAAGAACTTGTGTTGAATACTCTTTAGCTAACATTGACAGTCCCTTCCACTGGGAACCGTATTTCTTGGACATATTTTGCACCACATTGCTGCAACCAAAGAATGGGTACCAACTGGGGCCTAAAACAAAGGAAAATCATAATTAACGTCTTACTAATATAATAAAATTATAAGTAAACGATATTTGAACACAGCGAATGTTTAAGAAAAATTAATATAAGACCAATAAAAACCAAAACAATAATTTTTAGTAATTTAGTCTGTCTCATATATAAGTTCCTTCCTTTTCTGTGAATGTCGTATGAGGTGAATAAACGAACTAGAGGGATGGGCAGCAGCGGCTCTCTTAAAACACCTCTAAAAGTCTAACTGCGGCTGCTAATCCGCCTGCCAAGTTTAGCAACTACGGCAAAACTCTCCTTATGGGGAAGGCTTATACATATTTACTGCAAACAGTGGTCAGTTAACGGCAGCTTCATACAAAAAGTATTGCACTAAATTAGATGAGGTTTTCATAGCTTTTAGTTTTTTTTATGCAACTTAGAATGGTAAACAAGCTAACGGCCCACCTGATAGACAGTGGTAATCATCGCTAATAGATATGAGCAGTACAGTTTCGCCCATGATACCCGCCATTCGTTACTATTCCTGATGACTCAAGTGTTATTTCTCTGTACCCTGTAAATTCACTGCCATATCCCACCCTTCAAACCGATACACAGCCATGTAAATACAACTGCTTCTCAGTAGAAATACAAATGGGACAGAGGTGTCCAAGAAAAAGACTTTTGTACACAATGTCTCTCTGGTTCCTGAAGATCTAACTTGAAAACTGGTGTGTGTTTCATCTTGAATCATCCAGAAGTGATATGTTTTATTGGTTTTCGAACATCTGAAATCCATGCCTATGAAATAATAAGCAAACAGCTAATTTAAAATACGAAACTTTGTTAATTATTTATGTATAATAATAAAAAAAAATCAACGGGTTCCGACTTTAACCATAAATGGGTATGGGATGGGGTAGTTGAAGTCATATTCTTTACTGTTACATGTGTAAAATAGATATTTGATGTACAAGTGGATTTGTCCATTTTATACAATAAAATTTATAGAGCTGTAAAAATTTCAGTATAAAAACTTATTTCAATATCTTATAGAATTGTAATATAAACAGATATTTTGTTGCAACTAATTTTAAATCTTACTATTCACATGAGGATAAGGAATTACATTTTAAAAATTTTAACATTATTTCTCATTCATAAGTCTATAAGTCATAACACAAATCTATGAATTGACTTGTGTGTGATTACTGTGAATTTAAAAATGTATTTGTCATAGTTCGCTATTATTATACAATAAATGGGAATAAAGATAAGGAATAGATATATTGAAGAGACCTCCTCCCACAACTTCCTTTAGTCTAGATAAGATTAACAAGGCAATCGTTTCCTGTATTTAGTCGTGTGGCGCTTTGTACTTTACTCGCTCCCTTTCACTTTTAAAAATCAGCCTTTGATTTTATTTAATTGAATGAATGCGTAAAGAATCCGATTTCAACGGCCCAGCGCTGGAGGGCTTGGACTTTCAATATAAATTAGATTCATGTTTGATGACCTTCGTGGTTTTGATTTACGTAAAAAAGGCCCGAATTCAATTCTCTAAAAGTCGAAAAATACGGGAGAATAATATTATAATATTTAATTAAAGAAAATCATATCAACCATTAAAACTGACATAAGTTTGTTACGTTATCACAAAAAAGAACGAATGTAGAAATTTTAAATAAGTCAACGGTTTAATAGGTTACGAAGTTAGGTAAAGTTTGGGATATCTCTCCAAACCGTGAATTGTATTGTCAAACTTAAAGGGTCATATTATATACATATTTGGGGCATAAATAGGTAGTTACGGAGTACATTTCGCTTTGGCACTCGGTTCTCTCTGCCTACGCCGGAGAACAGGCTTGGCGTGCAGAAAGTATATCGCTATAGATTTTAAAAATTTAAACGGTAACAGTTTAGCATCGCTATATTTCAACCAATTCAACACATAATGATCAAAGAGCGTATCTAGATCATTGATTGATCAATATAATGGTACTTAAGCTGACGATTGAACATGCTGACAAATTATTTTAAACAATAAGATATATCCTATATTAATAAACATTTATCTAAAATATGTCTGTACTTGAATATAAAAGTATTGGATTTTAAATATTTATATTATATGAATATAGTTATAAATGTTTATTTGCTAGATAAAATACTATCATTGCGTAATAATTATCGTTACCTATTGCATAACCCACTTATTTATATTCAGGAAAGACTCTTATATATAAGCAGTTGGTTGCCACGGTCATTTTCCGTAAGCATTATTATTTACACTTTAAAATAACAACTGAGTATCATCAACACTTGCAGTATATTGAGAAATCGATCTATCTTTAGATAACAAACGTCGAACGAGAAGTTTGATGCACGTGTCAAACAGTTAAAATAGAAAGCGTGCCGACTTGTTAAATTAACCGTAAATTATTATATATAACAGTCACTAATATAGAGAATAAACGCTAGCAAAACATGAACTTTGAACTAATTGGTGCAAATGAGCTCCATCATTTGATGATCTCAGTTAGAGAATAAAAGTACATTGCCGTCTTGTAACATACCTGGAGGAAACTTCTTCGGTTTAACTATTGATTTTAGCATGTATCCACTGACAATAAGCAATAATAAAGTAAAGGTCAATGTTAACATTTTGTCAGAGCGTGTTAACTACAATGCGCACGAGTCGCGTAATTATGGGACAGCCGCGTGCCAGCTCCCACGGCTACCGGAGCGAGACTGTACTGGACTATACACTCAATTGGTGTATAACAAGAAGCTTTTTAGGGATAAGTGTCCATTTAAGGTAAATGCAAATAACATAACCTACAAATTATCATAATAACCGACACCAGCTGACGCAGAAGTTTTAATAATGTATTATTATGAAAATAGATAAGAGTAAATAGTTTCGTTCACTTAGAAAGATAAGCTGACATATTCAGTTGTAGATATTTATAATGTTTGAGGAAAAAGCTTAAATCTCCGAAACTAAAAGGTACATGTACTCTATCTACCCCCGACTGACCTGGAGTAATGTATGAAAATAAAGATTTGTACGAAGCTAGTTACAATTGCAATATGATTATTATTTATCAACCAGAAGAGCCCGCAATGTTGTTCGTAAATCAAATTTTTGTTTTTTCCCTTGGGAATGACACATTTTACCGCAGTAAAATTTATCTTATGCTGACCCGGGAATTAGATTATTTCCATATAAAATTTTAATTAAAATCCAATTGTTATAATTTCATTATATGTATATTAAAAAAATTTTGCTATACAGTGTTCAGAGTAAATCTTAATACTGAATTAAACATACACATGCTTTTCAGCCTGAAATTACATTAAATAATTGCGTTACTTCCTGTTTGTTGAAAACCATGAAATATGCATCACAATAGTTTAAAAGTTAATAGGTTACTTTTACCTGACTGCTAAAGAAAAAAGGTTTATGTTTTTCAATTATATGCTAAGTGCATTTTTTTGAGGAGAAAGAAATAGTTACAATACCATAAAATAATATGTAGCAGTCATAAAGATCCAAAATTACTGTTTTTTTTTTCATTATCGCCACGTTGATTTCTCCTTTTGTACATAAAAGCCAGTGCTAATTTTATAGTTTAAAGTTTGGATTAATAATTAACCACAAAAAAATTAACATTGTTACTAACTGAATCAATATTTATACGCCTGAAATTAATGAATTAGCAAAACGTGATCTGAGGGCCTACCATGAAATGTTTTCCGAAATTTCGGAGCGAAACGAAACAGAAATTTGATGTTAAAATTATAAAATACATGCCGTTTGGAAATATTAAAAATGTTAAAATACTGTTTCTTTGGACTTTTATGATAAGATGTATGATGAACGAAATGTTATCTCCATTTATTGGTCCGATTTTGGTATAAATAAAAACATGAAATTGAGTCCGAAATTTCGGAATTTCATTTCATGGTAGACCCGCTGGTCTCATTCTTTGGATATTGTTTTTTGTTCTTTATTCTTTGATCTCAAATCGTATGCAGGAAATTTGATTATATAGATAGGATCATAGTAAGAAGTGTTATGAATAAATTTAAGAAAATATGGAATAATTAATAATAATAACTCGACTTTCGCTACTCCGACTTACGCGAATCCGGAATTACGCATTTTCAAATTTCGTCGATTTTATTGTTTGAACGATATATCTAGATTACGCACATTTTCTCTACATTATTGTTAAGCTAATTTGCATATCCGAACGTGTCCTGTAAAATGAAAGCATAGCTAGGAGCCAGAAGCTCACAGAAAAGCGCTAACAATTATACTCCAACTTACACGAATTCGAATTACGCGGTTATCGTTTAGTTCTACCTATCGCGTAAATACGAACTATTGCTGTATCTAATATAGAAGCTTACGTAACTTCCAAATTCTTTATATCCTTAAGGCCTCATTGAGAAAATATTAAATATAATAATAAAGGTGTTATTGGTGACACATAGCGACTTTAATATTATTACAAAGAAATTGTAAATATATATTTGTATATTTAAAAATATATTTGGACGCACTAAAATTATTTTAAACATAAAGTATTCCATTTTTGCGAAGAACTGAATATTTTTTATGTTATTTATGTGGATAATTACATTATTGTTAATTTTGTACATTATAATTACGTTATTGTTGTACATTATAATTACGTTATTATTGTTACTAAAATATTTTTCGTATCATGTTCGATGAAATCCCGAAAAGTTCACATTTTACCAGAGATTTTGAAATGATATAAAATATAATAATGCTTCTTAGGATAAAATTAAATTAATTAATTCCAAAGATTAAATTGAAATTCAAATCATCTTTATTCAAACAGACTTGTTTACAAGCTCTTATTGTGACTCTACTGCTTGGTTTGAAATTTTGTTATAGGCTGAGATAAAAGCTGAGAAGAACTCGCAAGAAACTCAACAGTTCATCTTTTAAATAAATAGGTAATGTTAACAGAGTATTATATGTATTTATTTAAATTACAATAAGACGAGCTACTTTATACTACCTACTGCATTATGATTCATTAAAAAAAAGCTCCAATAGCGCGGAGAGAATGGTTTGTTAGTAATGAGGGTTAATGGCCCCATTGCTCGCAGTCCTCCCTGAAAACGATGGGCCAACTGACTTGACTTCTCCTCTGCTATCGTCCTTTATTAGTATCTTGCTAGTATACACCGCTAGCACAGTATACCCCTATAGCTCAGATAGAGTTACAATTTCATTTACGTCTATTAAATACAAAACTATCAATAGAGCACGCGGGGTTACAATTCCATTTTAATGCATTAAAAAACCATTAAAACACAAAAATACGTAGTATCTATTACTATACGTATTAGATATTTTTGTATACTACATTTGGTACTACATAGTTTAATAAGGCCTTTTTAAGATTATTATCCAGAGAGCGAATGAAAGTTTAACGGCATATCAGATAATGATAGGAGATGAAAGAGTCGAGCAAATGAGTAAATTTATACACTTAGGTATTCTGTTTACGTGGGATTTAAAAGGCGAGAGAAATATGGAAAGGAGAATGAAAGTAAGAAATGGTGTAAACGGTGCACTGCTCACAATTGGGGCAAACAAAAAATATAACGAGCGAAGTTCGTTATATAATATAAGCAAGCGATTTGTGGATATGGCAGAAGAAGTATGAAAGTAAGATAAATACTGTAAAGATGAGAGCTTTCAATAGTATTTTATACATTAAAAGATTGGGTGAGAAACAGTGTGATTAGAGAAAAGAGTGGACTGAACGTCTTTCAGTCCACGCTTTTCTAATCAAAATAATAAATGTAGTAATACAAATCGAAAAAAGGACTGTTACGTTGGTTTGGCCTCTTGGAGAGGATGGATATAAGAAGAATTACGAAAGAGGTTTATTAAGCAAGAATGGATGGAGATCTCGGCAGGAGCTACCCTAGATGAACATATGTCGTCCAAACAGGTGGCGATCTGAAGGAAAGCCAAATTAAAAGTACCCGTAACCGGCGAGTATGTATGAAAAGATTAATAAATGTGGAGGATGTGAAAGAAGCTTATTTGAAACGAAACATTTGGCATTCCATTGTTTCTGCCTACCCTAATGGAAGATAGGTGTGACACATATATATGTATTTGTCCAGAGGGGACCTCATCCCTCGATAAAGGAGCAAATTTTATGCTCTTAGGCATATTTTTTTTGGAAAATCCTTATTCCACCTTTGTCCGTTCACCAAATCATCTGTCTGACCTTTTATCTGTCACCGCAAGGTCACAGCGTCAATCTCAGCAACTATTAATGCTATCAATTTAAAATTAGAAATAGTTTTACATTGACCCGAATATATTATTACGAAAATTATTAAAAAATATTTTTTTTTGCTAGGGGTTCCAAAACGGATACTCAAAATTGGTCTATTAGATCAAGTGGGATATCATATAAAATGACTTCATTTGTATATTTAAAAAAAAAATTATTTGTTGCTTAGTTATATGATTGAAAATATGAGAATAAAAATTCATTCTCTCTTTTATCTCCGAAGTTTCTAAAGCGAAGAATCTAAAATAATTACAGTTTTATAAAGTTATATGTAGAAATTACAGAAAAGGGTTTACTTTTTCGACTCAATCTTACGTTGTCACAATTTTTCTATTTTTTCATAACAATCGTAGTTACCTACGTTTGAGAACTGGACAAGTGCATTCTATACTACCAATACTACCCAGTCATTCAGGAAGATTGTATAATTATGAATTGTATTAATATGTTTAATCGCTAACAGTTTATTTGTTTTTTAATAGGGATGCCAACAATTAAAAAAAAATCTTGTGGAAACTGGATTTTTCAACAAAATTTTTTGAAAAAGAGATTTTCCTAATTCAATTCCCGTACTTAATGCACTGGAATTAGAAAACCTCCGTTTCTTTTTAGTTAGTTTGAATAAAAATATGTGACAGCATTGCGACGAAATCCGCATTTCGCAAAATTACAAAAGCGTTGGATTCTTAGATGAATGATTAGTACTTAAACTATTGTTCATACATAGTATGACTATTTATAGTTTTTAATTTTTATGCCATTGTTGTATCTTACACTATAATTACGGTACGTTCAAATTAATTAAAAATTGAACCTTTTTTTATTTTATTTTTTATTCATAAACAAAATTTGTATTTGAATGTCATAGTAGATACAATAATTTCATATCATAGTAGATACATAAAACAAATATTAAAATGTATTTATAAGCATAACTAATATTGAACAACTAATACAAGAAAATTTACTGCCGATTTATTTCAATGGGGGTACTGTTGTGATTAAACCATTCATCTCTGCTTTAGTCTGTAATATTGTAATATGTAAGAAAATAAATGCAATTTCTTTGCGGAATACAAATGTTTAAAAGTAAAATAAGCTGGTGATTATGTTTTAACATAGTCACCAGCTTATTTTACTTTTAAACATTTGTCACGCCACCTTTGCAAAGTTTTGGGTAAATTCAAAGATTTCGAGTAACCTTCTCTTTTGAAGAATTTATAACCATTAAATGTAAATTATGTTTAAAAAAAATTATATTAATTATTTTCACCTATTTTAAATCTGAATACGGAACATATATGGATATCTATAATATTTTTTTTTATATCAATTCTAATATTAAGTCCATAATCTATGACAAGATTCCATTAAATGTAACTGTCAAAAGTTTTTGACAATGACACCAAACATCAAAGTCTATATAGATGCCACTAGGTTCATGTCACTTTGATAAAATCTAATTGTATAAAACTTATACAACCATATGGCTAGGTCTTTTATGATACCTATCTATATCAATATTTTGGACAAGGATTCTAACGAAAATACATTAATGTCTATTATATATATTCTAAATATTTTGTACAACACTATGAATATTAGTTTTTTTTATTCTATTGATATTTCTCAATGGTTGCATAGAACCATTTCTCAGCTTAGTCAATATAAGAATTGTACCGGCTCTCAAATAACGTAGTAATCAATTACTCTGTATATGTCACTACGAGTACGAGGACGGGAAAATAACAAACTATGAAGTTTATTCATTACACCAATCATCCCTCGTTATGTACTTATCTATTCAATTAACTACTTGTTTGATATTGAGTGGTTGTGTAGTAAATGTTGCTAGTCAAGTATAATTATATAAGCTTTTTGTTCGTCGGTTTAATTGATATATATAATTTTTATTTATAATTATGTCTGAATATGGAATATTTGGCCCATTAGTTGGCTCTATAGACGAGGGCACGTCAAGTGCACGATTTATAATATTCAAAGCAAATTCCTCTGAAGTAGTTACTTCTCACCAGAAAGAATTAACGCAACATTTTCCTCAAGAGGGTTGGGTCGAACAAGATCCTTACGATATTCTAGAAGTCGTAACTACTTGTATCCATAAGGCCGTAGAAAATTTGGTGGAGTTAGGTGGTAAACCTGAGGTTTGTGACAAACATTATTTTTTATTTTATATACTTTTAATAATGATCCTTAAACATCATGTATATAAAAGATATACAAAAGAGGTATCCAAGTGTCCATAATTAAACATAAAAGAAATAATTATTTATTTTAGAACAGGACATAGGTGGATTTATTTACTGTAAATATGAAACTGCGTCTCTAGAAAATGTATTTTTATAATATCCATATAAACATTTAATATAATTTGGCAACAAATGTTGCCAAGTGGTTAGAAACAAGTGCATAAATTGCAATGACACTGTTGTGAGTGCAATTTATTATCAGCATATCTTTTCTTCTATCAGTATATCTATGCTGGTAATATATAGTAATGTATTTTGTAATCATATGTATTAACTACTTCTACTATAGCTAATTACTGTTTTTAGGATATAATTGCTGTGGGTGTAACAAATCAAAGAGAAACTACGATTGTATGGGACAAAGACACTGGCAGACCATTGCACAATGCTATAGTATGGCTGGACATGAGAACTTCATCTACCATTGAAAAGTTATTGGATACTGTCCCAAATAAGACAAGGAATAAGAATTATTTAAAGGTAAGATTGTACCTTAATATATAAAAGTCATGTGTTGTAATGATCATTCATATTAATGTTTAAAACCATGACTGATTTTAATGAAATTTTGTAAATGTGTATTATTTGCCCCAATTTAGGAGATAGGATAGTTTTTATCAAGTTAGCAAAGTAAGATTAAATGTGTTAATAATGTTAGTATGAGTGGTTGCTATATTGGTTAGTTAGTATATAAAATAAATATTCTTCTGAACTAGATGTTTTTTTTATGGAAAGCCCTGGATGAATTTATCACTGGTTTATTAATTATAATTATTTTGTTTAATTCTGCTACCATTAGTATGTGTGCGATCGCTAACACTTAAGGACTAACTATGGTTATTATTATTATTTGTTTTTTTTTTAAATGGTTGAGAATGAAGTGGTAACCCTGTCTGCACTATTGTTATTCACTGATGGGGCATCAGTGAGTGGTAATAGGTTTTTTGATGGGTGAAAATGGTATGGTAACTCCGCCTGCGCTAATGGGATACGCTGGCGGAGTACCAGTGAAGGGTGGTATATGAGAATGAAAACAGGTCAGTTTGCCCATCATGATGAATTTATCAGTAATTAACCATGATAGTTTCCAGGGAGAACTGCGAGGAGGTCGACCTGACTGGGTATATTGCTAGCAATGGGATTCTCAGTCTCCATTACTAACAATCCCTTTCCCTCCCAAAGTGGTAATAGGTTAGGATAAACTAGGTCAGTTAGTTGTGATGGATCCAACAAGAAGCAATCATGATGATTTCGAGAAAAAACTGTATGGAGGTTGACTTAACAGGGTATATTGCTAGAAATGGGAATTAACATTTCCATTACTAACTATTCCTCCGCCCCTACAATTATTGTTACCAGAATTTCTGCAACTTTGCTACTCTACATTGTAATTTTATATTTTAATAAAAATTATTATCATACATTTGTATGTTATCATCTTTCTGTCTATCTCAATTATTTGGGGTCAGCGTAATATGTTTTTATTCATATTATTCATATACCTATGGAACCAAAATATTGTCCTACATGGTTGCCAAAAATATGCAAAATTACTCCGGGAGCTATGGAGAGATCTGTATTCGGGAAGATATGTTCTTTCCATGATAGAATTTGAAATGAGAATATCTGCAAAAGAACCAAAGTGACCTTCATAGCCTGAAGGATAAACCAGTGAAGGGGCAATGGACTAGTCATATAACTCAAATAACTAATAACTAAAGGGGAAGAAAGGTTCTTAAATGGCGACCCGCAAGGTCAAACATAATTTAGGATGATCCTCCACTATATGGAATAACGACCTCCCTCACCTCATACATTGTAGGGAGTCATTAGATGTAGGTGACTCAGGAACCTTCCTTACGGCAGTCTATACGGAAAGTCTATGTTCGCACAACGGCCCAAATGAGAGGCTAAGTGCGGAAAACAGAGTCTTTCTTACAAGTCTATGTTCAGCAGCAGTGGACGGATGTGATGGCGGCTCGAAGTTTTGGTTTAATGGCTGACTAACTGTCTGATGTCAACTGTCATATATTTATATCTACAGGATCATAATTATATACAAAATACCACTAAATAACAAATTCATTACAGCCCCTATGTGGATTACCACTTTCTCCATACTTCAGTGCTGTCAAATTGAGATGGCTGAGTGACAATGTGAATGCTGTTAAAAATGCCATGAAAAATGGCACTTGTTTATTTGGTACTGTTGATACTTGGATTATATGGAATTTAACAGGTATTCATATTATTTTATTATTAAAAAATTATTTAACATTACCATTTGCCACTGCACTGCACATGAGCTATGTTTTGATTGTTCATTTTTAATTATTGATAATAATATTGCACAGCGAAATTTATTCTTGCCGTTTATTAGCTATCTTATAAATATTGATGTATTTGTCAAATATAATAGTATTGTCATATTTTTAAAAACAATATATTATATTTATAATATATTCCATTTATTAATATGTAATTTTCATATTATTGTTGTTGCTGTACAGCAATATTGATGTGTGTCATTGTTATTGAATAATTATTAAAGATTGTTTTTGTCATAGAAAATCACGTATCATAGTGATTTGTAGGCTTCTATGACCGACCTGAAATAATAATTGAGATAAAGGTATGAAGATGATATTGGCTCAAACCAATGGGCTGTTCGTATAGCTCAAGCAATTGTTAACCGATGGGGGAAAAAGTTTTCAATTGGCAATTCTGTGCAGGCAAGCATAGGCATGGAGGGCGATAGCCCCGCGAGACGGAGTAAAGATCTTAAGAGTGTTGCAGGAAGTTACTGGATGCAAATAGTGCAGGGTCATACTTTGTGGCTTTTTTGCGTAATATGTTCAATAGTGGACAATGGATGGGTTGTAATGATGATGATTGGCTCAAGGGAATTGATGTAATTGTATGACACTCGATATTTAATAAATAAGTAATTAAATTGGATTACACTTTTAGTACATATTTATATTTAATAAAATATACAACATGCATAGATATCTTATTTTACTAAAATAGCGCTGCATACGCAAATCTTACGCTAAAGAACTTAAATAGATATACTGATATGTAGTGAGATGGAATATTTATTTTAACAATACATCTCAGTATGACATAACCTAAAGGATAAGCAAGTTAAAGTGGCAATGGAGTGGATAACTGATAACCAATGGGGAAGATGACTACCCCGTATAGGAAAATGCATTGTAGAACAACTCTTCACTAGATGAAGCGAAGTCATCAAATTCATTGCAGGGAGTCATTAGAAGCAGGTGGCTTTGGACCGTTCTTTATGGCAGTCTATGAGGGAGGCTTATGTTCAGCAGTAGACAGTTAACAGCTGAAATGATGATGATTCTGATGAGTTTTATATAAATAATAAATATATGAATAATATATATAATTTATGCTGTATATTTTAAATAGTAAAGTAATATAGTTAAGTAATTATCGTTCAATTTGCCATATGGGCAGGAGGTTAAAACAATTACTTCTGTATCGATGTAAACATTTGAATTTATGAGTGATATTATTTTTGTAAATCTGTAAATAAGCTATTTTAATTGTGGCTCAAAGTCAAAATGTATTGCTTGATAATTTTTATCTTTATTTTATTTATCTTTGCATATGTGCATATGTGTTTATGTTATGTATGTTGTAACAGCTGTGCAGTTGTCAGATTATAACTATATAGTTATCTATTGAAAAAATCACGTTGCTAAAATGCTGTTCATGTCTATAGACGACATATTTACCACAACTTATTTACCATTCCAACTTCTATAAAAAATGTCCGGACAAACTAATTGTTTATGGCTGTGTTATATCTTATACCAGTAAAAAATTTTATTACTTTGAACTTGTAATGCAGGTCTTTACCCTTGAGATAACATTTAGCATCAGTTATTAGTGTGTTAGTAGCTAAAAACGCTTCATGAACCATTGATGTTTTATATATATAAAAACTATAAATACATCAAACAAATTTTATGAGAACATGTGCAAAAACTGTATATGTCATAGTTGAAGATTTGACTGTTACATCTTTATTACATTTTTTTTATGATACTTAGACCTGCAAACAAGCTGACGGCCCACCTTATAGGAAGTGATGTTTACCACTTCCTATAAGGTGGGCATAGCACCATGGACATTACAAAATATATTATATATTTTTTAAAATTTATATGTATAAAATAAATGTTATGCAGTCTGCGATATATTATTAAGTTTACTTAAAATATGTTAATTGTACGCAAGCATTGCTCTATAGCTGCTAAGCGGAATTTTACCTTGAAAACAGCATATGTTAGTCGTTTATTGTTTATCAACGTGTGAAACCTTCATAAATACAAATTTGTGTAATATACATTTTAAGATTTTTTTTTTGTGATTAAAGGTGGCGCAAATGGTGGTAAACATATAACCGACGTCACAAATGCCTCCCGCACTATGTTAATGAACATAGAAAACCTAGAATGGGATCCACTATTGTTAAAATTTTTCGAAGTGCCAAAATCTGTCTTGCCTGCAATAAAATCAAGCTCTGAGGTAAGAATGATGTTTGTATTTTTTTTTATCTGATGGATTAAATGTTGTAATAATTAATTATAATATTATATCAATAAATATAAATAGTGATGATTTGTATTATTTTTTTTTTTATTTGTCAAGTAGAAAAAGCGATTAGTAATTGACAAATAAAAATATAATTTTTATAAAAAATAATAAGTTTTTATTTATAAATATATATAATAGGTTCTTACTTAATCATAGGTAAATGATGTATATAATACTTATAATGGTCAGTACGATCTATCTAAGAGAACAGTGTATATGATGAAAATGGCTGTGTATACTTAATTCTCTCTGCCTATTTTATAAGGATTGCGAAAATGTATAAAAACTATAGATTTTTATTAATATTATTAAACTTCATTTTTCAGATTTATGGTTACATATCGGATGGTCCTCTAGCAGGGAAACCAATATCAGGTTGTCTGGGAGATCAACAAGCAGCTCTAGTTGGACAAATGTGTCTTCAAAAAGGCCAGGCTAAAGCAACATATGGAACTGGTTGCTTCGTTCTTTATAATACGGGCGATATTCGCGTGAACTCCAGCAGAGGATTACTAACTACAGTCGCCTACCAATTGGGTAGCAAAAATCCTCCGTACTACGCCTTAGAAGGATCGGTATGTTTGTAAAATAATTAAATAAGAATAAAATAACATTTCTACATAATTATTATTTAATTACAATCAATATTTATACTCCTATATGGAGTGAAATATCAAAAAGTCAATAGATGCGTAAAGAGTAGCTGGTGACTGTCTATGGGTTACAGAGAAATATCTAGGTATTGTATTATCTATGAAAACGAACGGATTTGTACGTATTTTTCCTCAACAAATTATTTACAAGATAACGTCTTCAAAGTTACTGTAATATAATATTATATCTACCTATTATTATTAACATTGTATAATTGTAACTATATGCTATTAAATTGTTATCGCTGCAATTTAGAATGGCTATTATCTATACGTAGTGTTAGTTATATTCACACTTCGTGATGAAGATGATTACTTTAAATGTGTGTATTAAGATAATAATAATCTTTATGACTTGAAACATGCTTATACTACATACAGAATTAGTACAATTCTGTTCTAATGTAAAAGAAATGATTTCAGAACTCCACAAAGTTCCAACTATTACCAGATCAATAGTAAATATTAATAACATAAAACACAATAATAAACAAAAATATAATTTATTTGATTTTTAAAATGTACATTTTAGTATTACTTTGAGCACCTCTGTAGCGCAGTGGTTAACTCGTTGCTTTGTGATCCTACGTTCTATTGTCAGTAGAGATATTAAGAAACTTAAAAATTTTGCTTCGTTAATTTTTTTTATTGTTTGATTTCCTATAATACAAGGATATTCTAGTTTTAAAATAATATTGGTGTGAGTGCGTAGCGATTATCCAACATTTATTTAATTTAACGGTTATCAACAGTGACCTAGTTTTGAGATAACATACTTAATAGTGTTTATACTTTGTCATTACTGTGAACTTGGGTTTCCCTTTTCATTTATCATATCTGGAATAATACAGAGTCGTAAAAATGCTTCCATGACTATAATCATGAAATAATAAGTTGATGTGGCAACTGTGAGGTACCTCCAAGTGGTATTGCCCTTTAAATTAATATTACTATTGAAAGTATTTAAATTCAGAAAAACTGGTGTAAATAATGTAAAATTATAATAATTTAAATATATGTGTATAATATATAGCATGTAGAGTTTGTGATAGTAAATACTTTTAACTTATTGAAGGTGTATACCATCCCTTAAAAATTTGTTGATAATGAAAATGGCACAGTATTCAAACTCCCATGACCACATTCTTTTCAGTCTAGGTAGTAACGCTATATATATAGCTTATAAAAGAATCAATGTCTATGGGTTACTTAAAATATGGGGAAATCCTAACATTCACCGTCTACGAGTATGTTTACCTATTCGTCTTCTAAAACCGCAAAAACAAGTGACTCATTGTTTGCATGTGGATTCGAAAAACGAACTTATAAAGGGAAAAAATATTTACTATTTTTTGTATATTACTTTTATATTGGGTGAGAATGGAATAGTAACCTCGGCTGCGCTATATTAGTATACGCTGGCCTTACCTATCATCTCTCACTAGTAGGGCACTAGTGAGAGATGAGGTAAGGGTAAAAGTAGGCTAGTTAGCTCATTGTGAAAAATTCCACGAGACCACCACGATACCACGATGGTTTCCAGGGTGAACCGCGGGTACATTACTAGCAATGGGGTTTTAAGAGCCCATTGCTAACAATCCCTTTCCTCCCGGTGGTGTGGAAGGCAAAAATATTTGCGGATCAGCTAAAGATTTTAAAATCAAGAAACAAATGTCATTATGATGTTATAATTATATAATACTGTTTTCAGGTGGCAATAGCAGGAGCAGCTCTTGGCTGGTTGAGGGACAATCTAGGTCTTTTAGAGAATGCCAAAGACTCTCAAGGGCTGGCGGAGACCGCTACAGAGAATGGTAGCGTCGTATTCGTACCAGCGTTCAGCGGCCTATATGCTCCTTACTGGAGACAGGATGCTAGAGGGTGAGTGAACTTGATATCACATCTGACTTATAATTTTACATCGTATTTTTTTTTTTTAATAATGATACATTTCAATTCTCTATTGCATTTCACCATACGATAGTAGCCATTAACTGTCCACTGCTGAACATAAGCCTATCGCATAAGGGAGTTTTGCCAATAGAAGTCACGCTTGGCAGGGCTTGGGCTGGTAACCGCATTTAGGCTTTTGGTAATATTTTAATAAGGACACTGTTGCCCACCCCTAGACCATTAAATTCCCTTAGTCACCTCTCAAAATACCCACGGGATAGGTAGAGGTGGCCTAATCTATGCCAGGACTACACGGCGATATTCGACGTTTCTTTTCAATCGACTTCAAAAAGGGCGTCCGATTTGATTATATTTTTTAATATTTTTTTTTCTGTTACAAAATATTGCATAATGTTAACAGAAGATGTTCTAAACTATTTTTTAAGAAAGTTTAAATAGCCTTGTACTTGTAACTTGTTACATGTAATTATTTTTTACGTAAACAGTACTAGATTTCATAATCCTGGATAATATAAAGTATACAAAGTCAAATACGTGAAGTATGTCTATGGTAGATAAGATATGTATTATCATACTGTTATTTTAGATATCGTATAGTATTAAGCGGCAAGCCCCTTTTCTAGTAACACGATTAACTATCAAAATCCAATTCAAAACATGATAATATGTTGTTTATTGATTTTAACCTATATGGATACATTACACAATGTGTATTTAGAATTCATTATTTTCTTATATCATTTAAACGGCTGAATATATTGCAGGTTTTTTGTTAAAACAGTTAGTGTCCCTTACATGCATGCAATCAGAATATCATTCATCATCATCAGCCTTTAACACTGTTGAACTCGTTTAATATAGTTTTCACTAATGTGTTGCAGTTTGCACCGCTTAATGTTTTATTTCAATCAGTTCATAAATCAAAAAGTTATATCAATCTAAAGAATCACATATAAAATACTATAAAATAATTGATCAGTTGAATTGGATTTTCGAAAATTCTGTCTACTTGTTCGGAGACGGGTCGGATTTGTTAGTTTTTACATATATTTAATATTTACAGAAAAAAATTTTGCCCTTATATTTTGAAGAGTGCTTAAGAAGTGCATGACCTGATTCTTCTTTCACCCTTTCGGCATCAGACGACCAGACGAAGCAAGAGCTTCCACCCTTTATGTCTTAGATATACCATATATAAACACAAAGCGCTTTGCGTCTTTCTTCATCATGCGTACGATTAAGAACTGAAACTCTCTCCCCGCTTATGATTTTCCATTTAAATGTAATCTGCACCAATTTAAAACAAATATGAATAGGCTACTACTAATAGGGCCTGCGAGCTCTAGCTTAGACCGCATTATCACTTGCCCTCAAGTGAGATCGTGGTCAATCGAGGGATTCTTCAATAGTAAAAAAAAAGAAACATGATACTTTTTAGAAAAATCGCGAAGAGGAACCTATGAGCAATATACATGAACCTGTCATGTATATTGCTAGTATTGGGGATGCTATTCCCTGGTACCAACATTCCTTTTTCCTCAAAACTTATTATAGATTAATATATGTATGTATAATTTTATTTTTCCAGAGTAATCTGTGGTATTACAGAAGATACAAATTCAAATCACATAATAAAGGCCGCCCTAGAAGCAGTTTGCTATCAAGTCCGAGATATATTGGACGCAATGAACGAAGACTGTGGGATTCCATTACAATTATTGAAGGTTGGTTTATGAGTTTTTATTTATAATTTTATTCGTGAGTCATAATGTAAAGATATTTTTTTTTTATAACCATACATACACACAGAAATAAAAAAATAAAATACTATTATAAAAATTATATAATGCTATATTTAGTCCCAAATTAAGTGCAGTTTGTATTTACTAGGCACAGTTAGGATATTTATATAATTACTAAAAAAAATGCAAAATAAAAATAAATTCTGTTAGAGAGTAAAAAGTCATAGTATAAAAGTCCCCCAATTCTTATATAAATATTTATAATTTATATCAATATTATTAATACTTATTATATTACTACAATAAAATTATAACTAGAAGATCTATACATGGAATACATTTAATAAAAAATGAAATGAGGAATTTTAATAAAAGCAATAGAAACTAAAACAGTAATTTTTAAAAATATTATCTCTGTATATATGTTTATTCCGACAACATATAAAACTATTGCACTAAATCGGTTAATGCTATTTTTACAGTTACGTTTTTGAAAGTCTAATTAGAATTTCGTACAATTTAGAAATTTTGACTCAAATTATCTTTAATTACAAATTAATCAACTAAACCCACAAGTTTCGATACCAGTGCCGTCTAGTATTTCGTTTAAAATTTTTCTTAGTGAATAGTGACCAACCCACTTAAAAACTAGTGTATGGTTTTTTGATACGCCATCTAAAAGTGGGTTAGTTTCTTTAGTTTTCTTACTTTTTAAATCCATGCTTACAAAGCAGCAAGCAAAAAGTTTGTTAATAAATATTTATAATTGTCAGTGCCCTCTAGTTTTGATGATAAAATTCAAGTAGTCGAGACTCGAGCGCATATATAAGAGCATTCAAAAACATTTTAAAAGTTAGCATTGATAATACAGTGCTAACTTTACTCTGTAGAAGCCGACTTCTAGAGAAAAGTCTCATAGCAGTGCATGAACGCTGCTCTCGACAGTTCTATATAAATATACTAGATGGCGCTTTTCCAAATATTATGCTGTTTGCGTATAAAAATAACTTTTTTGTCGAGAAGAAATGCATCATGCAGACCCTCATATTTTGGGGGTGAATACTACCAGACTCTTACTAGCTAAAACCCCTCCGATATCTTTTACTCGCCCTAGTACTGGGATCGCACAGGGTTCCGTTTATACTCGACTGCAGCCCTGGCTGCACCGGCTATTAAGTTCAACTTCTCGAAACGTATAAAATTAGAATTAATTTTTAGATAAAAATAGTACTAATTTTAGAGATAATCATCATCACAACCACTCATCACTGTTGAACATAGGACTTTGTCATATTATGCCACGAAATACGATTCTACACTGGCTGGCATCTATTGATTTCTTTCAGCACTTTTTTGGGACCTATTATCTTATATTATTATATTATAAAATACAGCATTAAAACTAGTAAAAATGTGTAATTTTATACATTAAATTTTATTTAAATGAAAAATAATACTTATATTTTTATGGTTCCGTACTAAAAAAGTACAAAGGAATCCTTATGGTGCGACTTAATCTGTTCATTCGTCCATCCGTCTATCACAGCGCTATATTTCAGTAACTACTAGTAAGTCTAAGTGGAATATTATATGAAAGGGCTTCATTTGTATATTGTAAAACTGTTTTTTTTATGATGCATAGTTTTTTATATATGATTAAATTTGCGAAAAAAAAAAGACCATTCTATCTATTTCCGAAGTTTCTGAAGTGAAACATCTGAAATAATTTCATTTTATAATGACATATGTGAATATTACAGAAAAAATAAAACGATGTTTCTAATTGGCATTGTATTTGAGAAATTATACAAAAAAAATACAAAAACAAAGTTATGTGGCCCATTTTTAACCACAATTAAGGCCCAAAATAAGAAATTATGAATTTAAATATAAATTATAATAACTTTTATAATAATAATAAGGTGTGTATTTTTTATAAGGAATGCAATTAATGACATTTTATATCATATATTTATATAATATGAGGGGGACAGTATACTCTGTTATGTTAATGGTACTGCTCATGTCTATAGGCGACGGTTACCACTTTCCATCAGAAGGACTGTCAGGTTGTTTGTCATTCTAAGTTGCATAATAAAAATTACGTACAGAGTCCTTGGCGTGCAAGTTCAGCTCGCGTCTAAACAGTTTTATATTTCTTGTATTATTTTCCAAAACTGCATTAACTCTGTTTTAACATATATTTCAGGTCGATGGTGGTATGACATCCAATAACATGGTAATGCAAATGCAAGCCGATTTAGTTGGTATAAACGTTATAAAGGCCGGATTCACTGAGAGCACTGCACTTGGAGCTGCTTTGGTTGCTTATTGGGGTGTGGACAGCACTACCCAAGTTGCACCTATACCGATGATGAATGGGACAACATACTATCCTCAAATCAGTGACGATGAACGGGACATGAGATACAAACAATGGAAAATGGCAGTCGACAGGTCTTTAGGATGGGATCAGAATTAAGCGATTATTTTTTGCCCATCTGAAAACATGTTAATTGGATTGTAAAGCAACAATGTGAAAGTTTTCTATATTTCCATTTAATTTTATAAAAAGAAATACATTTATATAACATCACATTCATTTATAGTTAGTAATATAACTTACCATTACTTAATATAGGAATTATTAGAAAAAGGTTATAAATTAAATACTTAATGGAAATACTCTTAAATTATTGTCATAGAGAGTATTGTTATAATTACAATGAAGTAATAAATTTAATGTTCCAATTCCGATATTTATTATTATTAGGTTTGTTATTTGATATAATTGTTTTTAAATTTTATTTATACACTTCTGGACTATTGTCTTTATTGAATTGGAATTTGGTACGAAAAATAGATTTCGAATAGTTTTTTTTTTTTTTTTTTAACTAATATAAATGTAATGAAGCAGCGAAAAAATGTTTAACATAGTAAATATTATCGAACATGTTTTCATAACAATATAAATAATAATACAATATAAAGAAAAATATATGTTGAATTTGGAGAATTTTAGATATTATGTCTTGATTGCTTGTATGCTTTACAAGTATAAATAAAAAAAAAAGAAGCCAAATTATAATAAATACAGATAACGATAATCCCGCCTGTCACAATGTTGCAATTAATAATACCTAAAGCGATTTAGCTTTAACGTATAAATAAAAAAGAGGCTTCAAATTCTTATTAGAAACGACCCGTTTATACTTTTTACGAGATAGTAACTAGATAATTTATTGTTATATTTGTCACAGTACTGCAGGTACTTTCTCGTATTGAGTACTTTTTATTTATATGATTTTACAATTTTCATAATTAGATATTGTGTGGTATGATAGCAGATACAATATTAATTATCTGCAATAAAAAAATTTGAACCAGGGATAGGATGATATTTGGAATTTGCTAAAAGTAAGTAAATTTATTATAAATAATGTAATAAATTTATTCTCGAGTCTGAATCGATTTAATGAACTGATAAATAAGTCGTGTCGTATCATTATTATATGGTTGTCATGTTTAAAATGTTGTCCTAGCCGTACTTTTTGAAAAAATATTATATTATTATTGTTTTTATTTATTGTAATTTCTGACTTAATTGACAAGACAAAAAACAAGGCTGTAGGGCCTAATCACAAAATGTGTTTTAAACTATATTTATTTTTATTTTTGACTATTAAAAATTAAGTAGGTATGTATATAATATTGGCATCTTTTTATTGTATATAGAGAAAATATATTATTAATATGTGAGAAATATTAGAAACGAACGTAATGGACTCTGTTTTTGAGTGAAAAAATCTTACATCATACATATATTTCCTGTAAGGTAATTAATAAGTGAATTATAGGTCAGAATTTAATTTTAATATTTGTCAGTGTAATTATTTAATATAAAAATATTTCATAAATAGAATTTTTAATTAATACTAACAATAATATATTAAATTCAATAAAACAAATGTTGCAACATTTATCACGGGAATTCGTTGTAATAACTGACAACACTGATCATTAAGTAGTGTCAATTTTATTATCAATGTCAATGTCAAGTAAATTTCAATTTGATATGCCAACAAAATCCTAAGGACGAGTATGAACTAAATTTATAAATACATTTGTGTCTTAACTATTTTAGATTAAGATTTATAATAGTCTATATAATAACACTTTATTTAAACTATTGAATTCTAATTGATATCCTAAACATTATATAATGACGCTCTGAAATTTAGTTCATACGATTTAAATTTTAAACTGATTATTAGTCAAATATTATTATTATTTATTAATATTATTATTTTTATGAAATGAAACTTTATTAATAACCCCTTTAATATAAACGGCCTTTAATATATAATTAATGTCATGTATGTGCTGTCCATTTGTATAAGTTATATTTATATTATGACAAAATTTTCAAAATAAACTCGGTAATAATTTAATGTTCCATTTGCAACATCATTAATAATTATGATAATTATTGACAAATAATGTTTTAGTATGTAGACTTAAATAATTAGGTTATCTTATACGTATATAAATAACTATAATGAGATTTTATGTTTGTAGTGCAGTTTTTTTTTTTTTATTTATGTTGAACAGGTTATCGACTGCCTAATGCATTGTCGATTCGGTTATGTATTCAATAATTCACACAATTATGTTTCTGAACATGCTATTATTTTTTTTATATATTAAAATAAACTAATTGCATATTTTTATCGAAATTGCATTACATTTACCAATCGACTCGTCTCATCTAGACAAAGCTAAAGGTAAAACTTTATTTTAACATAGCTGCATTATAAAACAATGTTTATGATGTAACAGTACTAATACAATCCTTTTTATTTTATGTAATTTTATATCAGTACAAACTTTTTGATACAACACATTACAACTACTTAGGAAAAGTGTTCACTTTTGTTCATAATTATTAATTAAAAAGGTGTCAGTTTAAAATCAATAATTATTATTGAGGAGCAAAAACGATTTAATGTGATGTGTAGTATCAGTAAATATCAGCTGCTCTGACATAAATAATTTTTTTTTCTTTTTTAATTCTAGATTTATATTATCTATATTACACATATTTGTCAGCCTAAATTTCATTATAGGATATGAATGATGGAGAATGCAGTACCCGTAATACGGGTTTTCAATCTATGACCACCCTTGCGATATAGCCTAAGATCCTGCCGCCGAATTATGCATGTAAAAAATGTTTTTATTGAAACTGGTTTTCAATAAAAAATGAATGCGAAGAATCATACTGATGAGTATATCAAATTTACCGACATTATTATCTATTTTCTCCTGGCAACCCTAGGTTGCGGCTGAAAACAGATAATCCTAGTGTTATTTCTTGTATTTTCGTTCATCTTTCATTTAAAACTAAGTTTTATTACAAAGTTATAAACTTTCATAATTCACCGACAGTGTCTTAGGCTAACAGAAGGATAATTTTTGTGATTAATTTTCTATATAGTTAGTACATTTTTTTTGTTTTATAAGTGCTAAAAGACCAATTTGTAATCAAAAAAGACATACGTAAGATACAGATTATGTGTTAAAATTAGTTACGAAATCATGCTAACGGTACTTTTTTTGTAGTAAGAATATAATGTAAAAATTTGTAAGAATAATATTAATAATATAATTATGTAATTTAAATTGTTGACAAATAAATATTTTTTTGAAATAATGTGTCTATTACTGTGGAATTGTGAGTGAGTATAGAATTAAAGAACAAAACTCATACCAGTGTAGAAAAGTATAAGACAAGGTGACGATATTTCCCAGAAACTCTTTTCTCCATTGGAAGATGTTTTCAAACTCCTGAACTGAAAAATATATGGTATAAGGTATTAGAATCAGTAAGTATGACTTCGACCGAGAGACTGAATTCTGCTGGACTGACAGCTTCTTACTATATCCACGAGAAAAGAAGGGGTGGCCTATTTCAAGCCGGAACCACACAGCAATTCAATATGATGAGACAACATACCTGACTTCGTGCCCACCAATTTATTATACTTGATTAGTACCCTGTTACTATAAATGGGCGCCAGCGAGATTATTGTTACATTTTGGTTGAAAAAATTTATGTCCTCTATCTATGAAAGTAAATAAATTCTAACGCCATTTTTTGTAAATATTTGACAGTGATTATAAGCGACGTAGTTGGGGTGACGTATGATTTGACATATGAAATTTGGCGAATACATCACCATCGATTTGCCGATCATATAATAATTATGGCGGAATCCCTGGAGGATGTAAATACTATGCTCAATGACCTCAACAGTACTTTTCAACAGGTAGGTTTTAAGGTAGGGGGGAAAAGGATTAGCAATGGAGTTTGACAGCCTTATTGCTAGCAATAAGCTCTATTAGGTCGACCTCCACGTGGTTCTCCCTGGAAACCATCGTGAACAATTATTGTTGAATTCGTCACGATGGATTAACTGACCTCCTTCATCCTCACCTATCATCTTTCACTGGTGCCCCGTCGGTGTATACCGATAGCGCGGGTGGAGTTGCCATTCCATTATCATCCATCAAAAAAAAGGTTTTAAGATGAACATGGACAAGACTAAAATCATGTCTAACGTCCATGTCATACCTATATAGTTTATGATTGAGAACACTACGCTTGAATTTGTCGACGAGTATGTATACCTGGGACAACTTTTCCGACTAAGTCCCTCTTCGACCGAGAGGTCAACCGACGAATCCAACTCGGCTGGATAGCGTTCGGGAAACTATGCCAAATTTTCTCAAATTTATACCTTAAAGTTTAAATACGTAGGTCTTTAAACAGTGCGTGTTGCCAGTGATGACTTATGGAACCGAAACACAGGGCTGCACGATTTCATGTGTGCAAAAGGTTCAAATTACTCAGCGAGCTATGGTAAGGGCTATGCCTTAGAGTTTCTTTGCGTGACAGAATTCGAAATAAAGATATCCTCAAATGAACCAAAATGAGTGAAGGAAGGAACCACGAAGGATAAGTAAGCTAAAAATGAAGCTTATATAGGTGGAAGAACCGACAACCGTTGGGAAAGGAAGGTACTTGAGTGGCGACCCCTACGGGCAAACGCAGTGTAGGACGACGCCCCACTAGATAGAATGACGACCTCAAATGCATTGCAGGGAGTCAGTAGATGCAGGCGGCTCAGGACCGTTTCTTATGGAAGTCTATGAAGGAGGCCTATGTTCAGCAGTGGACAGAAAATGGATGAGATGATGATGATAATTTTTTTTTATACAACTTAGAATGGCAAACAAGCTGACGGCCCACCTGATGGAAAGTGGTAACCGTCGCCTATAGACATGAGCAGTACCATGGACATAACAGAGTATATTGTTTCGCCCATGATATCCCCCATGCGTTGCCATTCCTGAGGACTCAGATGTTATTCCTCTGTACTCAGTAAATTCACGCCATATCCCACCCTTCAAACCGAAACACAGCCATGCAAACACAACTGCTTTACGGTTGAAATACGAATGGGGTAATAATAAAATTTTAATTGTTTACAAGTCTATTACAATAAAGATGAATTGATATGAATTGAAGATGACACTGTTCTAACGTCATTTTATAATGATTTTCGGAAAGTTGTTCTATTGAGATAAGCCTGCAAGAAATTCAACAGCCGTTCTTTTAGATCCCTGTAAACATTATAATAATATGCATTTATTTAAATGTACTATGTCTAAAATTATTTGGTCGTTAAAAAGCCCGTGCATGATCGACTAGTACCGTGCATCTTTGTCATGTAAGTACTTGTAATCGTTTAGTGTATAAATAGGATTTGTCCAATAAGTGTTTTTTAATAACAGTTTTAAACTTATTGGAAGGTAGATCCAAAATATTCTTCGGTATCTTATTATAACATCCATTTAATGCAGTGGGCATTTTAAAATACCTATTGACTTTTTCTAAACGATTTTTTGGAACTGCATGTTTAAATTTGATCTAGTGTTAAAATTATTACGATCGCTGTTTTAAAGAAATTGTTGAAGATTCTTGTATATATACAAAATGTTTGCATATATGTATTGTGAAGCTATGGTGAGAATATGTGCTTCTTTAAAATGCTCTTTTAGTGATTCACGGCACGACATTCCATAGAATAATTTTCATGAATATTAAAAACTAATACTACATGAAGAACGTGAAGGTTTTAAAAGTTTTTAATTGCCAAAACTATTAAGTAGTGGCAATATATACAAAAATACCTGGGGTAGTGGTTTTCATCCTAAAGCAAAATTACAGTGCTAGGAGATTAATACTCTCCGTAAAAACTTTTTAATCGCAGTCTAAATTTCAACAACGCCATCTATTAGCTAAATTTTGCACTAAAATCTGTTCGAAGATTAAATATATGTGAATAAAGACCGGTTATCACGAGTTTTGGGATCGGCTTTCACAAGTTTTGAAATTTTGGTTTCTTCTACATTACAAATAAAGATTTTTTTCAGATCAAAGTTTGATTTTGTGGAGGTTAGAGCAATTTTTCGAATTATCAAAAAAAATTACTGATTATATATATTCTTTGTAATTTTATTAAAAATTAGAATTAGGAAGATTTTGCTGAACATTAAAGACTTTTTTATTGTTATACCTAATATACCTAAGTGTAAAATAACATAAAATCAAGTTTAAAAATAATATTTTTAGTGGATCTTTTATGATTGTATGCTCCCATTATATTCTCGTTCTACTTCTCTTGATAACGCTTTTCAAAGCCTATTTCTTATTTCGGTTTCGGTATCTGAAGCTTAAATAAGCCTCATATGCTTCGCAAAGCTTCCAATTTGTTTCGAGTCTATTTTTTTTTTTGTTTTTTATTTTAATAAATTCACCGTAAATAAAACAGAATGATCCAACGTGCCGTTCACACTATTTTGACACTAGGTATATTCTAACTATATAAGGCACAAGAGTCGGTTGTTACAGCTGTGAAAGACAAATAAACATTCACTACTGTACCCTTCATCAATAACAACCAATTTGCAATCAGAATAGTCAAAGATTTAGCGTCTATTACTCATAGAAACAATAAAAAATTCTCAAAATATACTTACTGACGTAAATTACACAAAAGCAAACATTAACAGTTATAATTGGATATCTGAGTGTTTTTCAATGTTTATAATCAGAATTCAAGCATTAGAAAAGAAACACATTTTTTTTTGTAGAAATATGTAATTTTATTATAATTATTATTTCAGTCGTTAACTGCTTCTCCATAAGGGGAGTTTTGCCAGTAGTTGCTACGCTTGGCAGGTAAGTTGGCAACCGCAATTAGGTTTTTAGAGATATTTTAAGAGGGTCGCTGCTGCTCATCCCTCGCTTGCCCTGTCTTAGTCGCTTCTTACCAGACTCACGGGAAAGGAAGGGGTGGCCCATTCTATGCCGGGGCACATACAACGAGAAATATGTAACATATGATATTATAATAAATAAACTTTTTATTGAATTGTTTATGTACTTTACACCTTACAATAAGAATAATAATTTATTTAGAATTAAAAATTCCATGTTTTAGGCCATGACTGTAACCATGGCTGAAACCTGGCAGTCCTCAATTTTAATTATTAGATCCGTTAGGTATATTCTATAGTTTGAAAGGGTCAGTGACAAATTTTTAGTAAATACTCAAATGTGAGTAGTTTTTACCAGTTGCCATACAACCATTCATTTAAAAATGATATATTTAATAAATATCAAATAGTTTTAATAGATGTATAATTTGCAGTTCATATACGAATATAATATTTTTTCTTTTTTATAAAACTTATGTTCATTTTTTATCGAATATTTATATAGATACATAACTGGAAATTAACGATCTCATTGTGTTTTTTTTTGCGACAATTTTTCGACTTTATCCGAAAGTCTTCTTCAAGGGGTGTTCGGCGTTTGCGTTACAGCGTCTCGCCTCGCGCTATATATTATATAATATTTATTTACATTATCCTTATTGTTAGTCCTGTACTGCATTTGTTCGTACGGAGTCGCCATTTAAGATAGTTTCTTTCACATCGGTTGTCAGTTCCTCGAGCTATGTGCCTATTGACATTTCAGCTTTATCTTTGGGCTATGTCGGTCGCTTTAGTTCCTTTGCGGATATCCTTATTCCGGATTCTGCTACGCAAAGAAACTCCGAGCGCATATAGCTCTCTCCATTATTCGCTGAGTAATTTGAAGTTTTTGCATACGGGCAACCTATTGGTCAACTTGTTGACCACTGAGACATCATTGAACAAATGGCCTTAATCACCACGATGAAGTCTGTCTTATTATTTATGTGTCCGTCGGGGCCACCTCAAGTCCATTTTCTGTGTGCTCGCTTTTGGAAGAAGGAGTTCACGATAATCCCAATTGCTGTCCCTTAGAATTTCATTGCTTACTTATTTTTATTGGTACTTATTATTAATTTTGGAGGGATTTGCCAGTAAATTTCTTGATAAAAACAATATAAATAAATGATTGCTGTAGTTCGAGAGTTTGAATATTAGAAATGAACAATCTTATCTAAGTATATTAATAATATTTACTTTTCAAATAAACATATTGAATAAATAGGCATTATTTTATTTGGATAAAATTTTTTTGAAGAGAGTAAAAAGACAACATATAAAAAAAAATCACACTACAACTTACATAATTATTATCTAATTAAATATCGA